TGATCCCAATTCGCGTCGGTGATTCCGCTAGGCTGTGATGATTACCCCTGGTTCTACTAGCCCAGAAACTCCTTGGGTTCTTCTACGAAATTTGTCCGTGCGTCTCACCGTACCCAAGCGAATGCTAGAATCTCCACATAAAATTCTAAACTCGGGCCACACTTCAATAATACGAAAAATCGACACTTCAATCGTCACCTCGACTTCATCGATTGAATAATAACAACAATCACCTGTGTTAACAACGAACAGTCGACATAACAGAGGAGTGAAAAATGGAAGGATCATATTTCTTATGTCCACCCTAATGACATCAAGTAGAACACGCAACGCACAAACACGAAAATAATCGACAACTGTTCGTTCGGATCCTTCGGTGTAAACTGAGAAGTTGTCAACTTAAATCTTCCCAGTTTCTACAGTGTACTGACTATTTACAGCAAAAACTGGGCGGTACTGTTTTTATACCGATTTTCACCACCGATCAATGCCTCTATTTCCATCGACCTTTCGATTTCGCATAAAAACCTTCTTTACGCTCTTGTTATTTTTTCTCTCTCTCACTTTCAACAGCAGAAGTGATTCTCAGTAGATCTCTTCGGAAGTTAATCGTGTCTGAAGAGGGAAATAATGTTGAGCCTTGAAAATACCTTAAAAGTTCTGCACGACAATGTGAATGATGATGAAAGGAAAAATAAGGAGTATTCCTGATTTCTATTGTGCTCACTCAACCGTTCAGGCGAATCACTCTTGCCACCGGACATTGTGGATTTATCATTTGTAATACCACAAGAGCTTCAAAATTATCGGGTATTTTCCGATAGGTTCGTTGCAAACAATGAAGGAGTCAAGTTTTTCAGGTTAAAAAATCACGAGTGCGAAGCACGAGTGATTTTTCCAGAAAAACTTGACGATTTCGTTTGTATGCAGGGAACCTTGAGGAAAATGTCCGATTAATTTTGAAGCTCGTGTGGTATTCGGGGGATTATTTTTCCAATCCAAATGTCGGGCAATATAATTGGACCATGAGACGAAACTCACAATTGAGAAACGAAAATTGTATAATTAACACAACGACATAATTGAATTCAATCTGTCAGTTTGACGAGGGGTTAATTCGACTGCATGATGTTTTGTTTTTTATATCGCAACTACCAGAGAAAATTATCAAAAAATTATCAGTTGAAAACCCTGTAGCTTGTACCACGTGATGTCGAATGGGCCAATTATATTGCCCGATATTTGGGTTGGAAAAATAATCAGTAGTAATACCTCAAGAGCTCCAAAATTATCGAGTATTCCTCGATAGCTTTATTGCGAATAAATGAGGGTGTCAAGTTTTGCAGGTTAAAAAATCCCGAGGGCTTGTGCGAGGAATTTTTCTGCAAAACTTGGCACGATGATTTGTTTGCGGGAGAGCATGACGGAAATACTCGATTAATTTTGAATCTCGAGGGCTATTTGTCGGATTATTTTTCCCAATCGGATTTTGGCCAAGCAGAGTGCAGTGGATAACATCAGGAGGTGAATTGGGGAAGATTTGAACAAATTATGTTAATATAATAACCCGATTTCCCTAGATTGTCAAATATCAGATTCTATTACATCTGAAATGAGCCGAAAAATGAAGAGCTACTGCGAAATATTCAGATAAAAGAAATGAAGAACTACTGCGAAATATTCAAAAGCTAGGAGGAAATACCCGAAATAAAACAGTCGGGTAGCCTCAAATACTGCGCTCTGATTGGTCGAAATCTGATTGATTCAAATATATTCTATAATTGAATGGAATTTATTCCTTGGAAACGAAGTTGTAATATTTCACGATGTGTTAATTTTTTCTAAATATCAAGAGGAACAAATCCGTCAACTTCTTCATTAAAAAACCTCAAAAGAGATGGCCCCAGACATCAGAGACTTTTCATCAAAACTAGAATAGAGCTAGAACTTGGGGGGAAAATACCACGCTATTCAGAAACGTATTGAGGTAGTCCAGGTCCAAATATATATCTGCCATCAGCAGACAAAAGCCGTCGAAGAAAATTGGAAAAACGTACGAGGGGATGAGGGGAAACAAAAAAAAATCGTCTTTTTCAGTGTCAGAAGATGAAAGAAACTCGCTGAAAATGAAGAATCAAACGGAAAAAAATCTGCTCGTGGGGCAGAACATGGAGTTGACAGAAAAATGATGAAAATAATTTTAACAACGCGATTCTCAGTCAAAATTACCTTCATTATTTTTTTTATTCACCAAAAATGACATTTATTCACCAAAAATTACATAGTGTTTCCTACGGAGATTACTATTGCGACTGTTTCAAGAAAATTCAGTCGAGCGTAGATTGAGCATGGGCAGGTATGATAGGGGAGGAGTGGACTGGACCAGCCTGAAACGCAGTAGTAGTGGGGATATTTTGCGCATCATCCGCCTAATATCTGGAAACCATCCCTGACCCAGTTACGGGTGATCCGTACCCCCTTCCCCTTTGCACATAACACACCTAACGGCGGGTCCATAACCACCACGAGACGCCCTCCCCCCGCCCTCTCCGCCATGTTACGTGTCATAAGACGTGTACAGTGCTTTGCATAGTACCTTAGCTTAATGCGGTATCATCGCAGTCCATCCATTGCGGTAATCCTAAAATTTTGTAACCGCCCATATTTTTTTCTCATACGATTCCGATAACGAATGATTCCAACGTGGAATAACGAAAAACGATTAATTTTAGGATTTGCTAAAAAGAGGAAAATAAAACAAAAAGTAAAATAATGATTTTTTCAGAAATCGACTTATTTCTTGTCCTGATCGACGGTGTAACGCATCCCGGCATATCGACTTGAATCAAGTCGAAGAATCAACTTGAATCAAGTCGAAGAATTAACTTGAATCAAGCCGAAAAATCAATTTGAATCAGGTCGACGACTCAACTTGAATCAAGTCGAAGAATCAACTTAACTCAAGTCGAAGAATCAACTTGAATTAAGTCGAAGATTCAACTTGGATCAAATCGAAGAATCAACTTGAATCAAATCGAAGATTTGACTTGAATCAAATCGAAGAATCGACTTGATTCAATTTGACTCTTCGACCGTATTCAAGTCGATTCGACGACTTGACTCAAATTGATACTTTGAATCAGTTCGTTCGACTTGAATTGAGGTTTTAAAAAAAGTTTCTCATCATAGTTATTTCTCAGTGAAGAAACTAACAAATTGACTTATCCTCATTATTCTACTGGTGTAGAAATCCCCATCACCTGGACTTAGTATTTCTCCTCCAACAGATTTCTCAAAATAGAAGCTTTTAAGAGGCAGATCTTCCGTAAAGCACTATTGGCACATTCGACCTCGACTCCCACCAGAAATATAGGAAGGGTTGTTAGGGAGAGTCATGTTTGCCGGTTGACACAACAGCCGCTGGTACGAAATCTGTGTGACCGTTGGTGCATGCGGTACACATACACATGCAAAGCGTTCTACAGCTCCCTACGAACGTCCATTCGATTCCAATATTACCCCTGGCCCTTTGTTCTCACTTGGCGAATATATAGCTCTGTTTTTTCAGCCTTTTTGTAAACCAAACAGGCAGAAATTTCTAAATATAGAAGTCGTACGATTATTTCCCCAGCGAGGAAATGAAAGTCGGAAGTTTCATTGTTTGGAAAGATTGCTAGCCAATATTTCCTCCGCTATAAATTTTATTTCCTCACTGCTCTTCACTGTTTCTTGTCCGGGGATTGGCATTGGCCCTTTTCCCAAACTCGTAAAAGTGAAAATCATCACGGAAAAATGGCGTTTACGACTAGTGTCATGGGGTTTTTTTACTCGCGGAGGTGACCAGTCCTCGCTTTTGGCTCGAGTGCCAATCCCACGTGATGGAAAAACCCTATGGCCGGTGCTCTGAATTATTAGGGCAACACGCTCCTCCTCGGGGGCACATTTTATTCCATAGCAAGAAAACTAATAACCAATAATTTATAATTGAGATGTAGTCTATGTTTTCTTGATATTGAATGAATTATTTTATTTATTTTTCACTCTCCTAAAAAAATTGAAATAATAAAATTCGTACGAATCCGACTCTTTTTTTTTTTAATCTACACTATAATAACCTAACGACGACCTATTCTAGTTATTAAATGAAAATTCTGACTCGACTCGCGTCGAACTAAGACGTATCGGTTTGAGATAGAAACCAATAGCATCATTTTCGGATGTGAATCATTATTTTCATCACGCTGTGACGAAAAGTGGACTTTTAGGCACGCGGAAAACTTTTGGAAGAGAAATACTAAGTCCAGGTGATGGGGATTTCTACACCAGTAGAATAATGAGGATAAGTCAATTTGTTAGTTTCTTCACTGAGAAATAATGATGATGAGAAACTTTTTTTAAAACATCAATTCAAGTCGAACGAACTGATGCAAAGTATCAATTTGAGTCAAGTCGTCGAATCGACTTGAATACGGTCGAAGAGTCAAATTGAATCAAGTCGATTCTTCGACTTGATTCAAGTTGATTCTTCGATTTGATCCAAGTTGATTCTTCGACGCTCCGCGTGCCTAAGAGTCCAATTTCCGCCACATTGTGATGAAAAATATTGTTCGTAACTCGTGAAAAAATGTTTTTTAGCTCGTGGGATTATATCACTCGCCAAAAAACACTTTTTTGCACTCGTTACGAAATATACTATTATTCTCACCCATGAGTCAGTAATAACCCCTGACTGAGGAAGGAAATGCGGCTGAAACTGTAGATATATGACTCAGGCAATAGAAATTCACAACTTGCCTCCCCTGAACCTTCATATACTCGCTTGTTGCGTGTCACCACACGTTTCATGAACCAGTCCCATTGATGTGAATAGCGTAGACGGGGAGAAATTGTATTATCAGACACAGTATTGATTACTTGTTGCAATGAGTAAACCAGGAAGTAATCTATTTATAGCTCCATTATAACAACTCTTGGGTAATTATAATCCTTTCTGTTTGCAGGATAAATTGCTGACGAAGTTGGAGGAGAATGAACCCGAAATGGCATCTTCTCAGGAGGATGAAGTGAGTAAATAGTGAATAATAGTGAAGATTGGTGATCCTTGGGGTGTCATATACCGGATAGCCCATGGGAATACTTACAACCATTCGAACAGTTTATGACAATCGACTGTGGAATATATAGCGTAGTATTTACAGTAGACTGTCGTTATAGTGTTATTTAGCGCTCATTTAGCAAACATTTCAGTGTTTTCGGCGAGATTTTCTTTGGGGAGTTATTGTGCACCCAGAAAATCTCGTCCTGAGTCAAGTCGAGAAATCGGTTTGAATGAAACCGATTTTTCGGTTTGATTCAAACCGATTTTTTTACTTGACTCAGGTCGACTAATTTTTCGACTTAACTCAGGACAACTAATTTTTCGACTTGACTCAGGTCGACTAATTTTTCGACTTAACTCAGGATAACTAATTTTTCGACTTGACTCAGGTCGTCATGGGTCATAGTATTTATAGTCGACTCTCGTTATAGTGGTATTTAGCGCGCATTTAGCAAACATTTCAGTGCTTTCGGCGGAATTTTCTTCGGAGAGTTATTGTCCACCCAAAAAAGGCGTCCTGAGTCAGGTCGAAAAATTGATTTGAATCAAGTCGGACTGAATCGTGCCGGGAATCGTCTCATTTCATGTCGGATCGACGGCACATCGGTCTGATTCAAGTAGATTTTTCGACTTGATTCCGGTCGAGCTCGACCTAAATCAAGTCGATTCTTCGGCTTGAGTCAAGTCGATACGTAGCTTAATTCGGAGAGATACCCTGTTAGAAAAAAATCTGTAAAAACCTCTCGCCATTGAGGAAACCATGATCAATCACGCTAAGTTATACTTATTGCTATGAAACACTCGTAATACGAATGGCAAAAAAATTATTTCACGACATTCCAGGAATTTCAATTCCCAAGGGAATTCGATCCTCACCACTTGCATCATGGAATTCTTCATAGAATGTCTTGTCAACCAGCGACTATCTCCATTCCATTTTACGTAATAGTTACGTGAGCCCTATAATACTTGAAGCTATAATTCTCGGTGAAATATTTACGACAGCCTAACATCTGTTTTTCCACGACTGGGGGAAAATGAGTGAGCGTCGTGATACTTTTTCATGCACTTGTTTGTTTTGCTTCCGGAGAAATTGAAGGTCATAATATCGAATTTAATAGTGATGACTGTGACACTAAGCCGTACTCTCCCCTATGTAAAATATATAATTCTGAAAATATTTATATTGTTGTATTTAATTAAGAAATAATTCAGGATAAATCGAAGGGGTGTACTTATTGACAGTTCTTCAGAATCAATCATAGAACAAAAGTGGATCACGCATGAAGTTATTCCCAAACATTCGAGAATGACAATCAACTTTGTTTTATTTTACAAAAGAGGGGAAGAGGATAGATTAAACCATTCGATTCCGCAACAATATTTTCATCCAGAAATTCTACCTAAATTAAGTCGAGAACGACTCGAATCATTTCCTTTGAAAATTTTACCTTTGAATCCGAAAGAGGAGATTGTAAGAGATTGCAGGAGATTTATTCCATTGCTGGAAGCATGCAGAAACCAAAAATACCGTTTGACACCTCAGACTGAAGTATAGATATTAAAAAAACTGCTTACTTTTGGTATTTGCAACGTTGACCGTAAAATATCTCGAATATATGCGAAATTAGAAATAATAAGTTTGTGACGACCTAACGATCCTCAGGGGCCTTGGTATCTCCTCTCATTATTACATTTCCGTGCGAGCGATTTGTTAGCGACATCCAGTGACAGTAATTGTTGCAATTGCTTGAACTCCTTGGAGATTGTCTCCAAGTATAAATACAAGTTTTGCGTGCATATTATTATAGTTCTGCTTTTGCTAACAAACATGAGCAGGTTTGTGGTGTTTTTATTTGTTACGAGCCTCGTGGCTGCGGTGGTAAGTATATGTACAGATCCAATTTTCATGCATGAGAAATGCCAAATTAACATTTGATCAATCATGAATGGACAGGAGGGAAATAAATTGACGATATTCTCCCTCACTCAGGGGACGAAATTTCATTCCTGGATTTTCCACATTTTTCATGTTGAAAAAAAAGCATTTTTCATCATTACAGACTCCTCAGCAGGGGATGCAGATACCGCCAGTGATGGGGGGCATGAGTGTTGGACAATATGATGGAATGGGCGGAGGTATACAAAGTGGCCGTGGGGGTGCTATGATGGGGTCATATGGGGCAAAAGAAGAGCAAGGAGGCAACATGGGTGGGATGAATGATATGAGACAGATGGGTGGGACGGGACGAATGAGACGCGTATCTGAAGATGACTTGAAAAAAAGCAACAAGGGTAATATTTCAAATATTTATGCTGTCAATGTTCAATTCAGATCTGAACAATTTTCTCATTTTTTTACTCGAAAGCAATTACCGGGAAATTTTGTAATTCTGGAGATAAGATTTTCGCAGTTCATATTCTGTATCAAATACTCGATGGAATATTCAAATAGATAAATTTTTCTTTCCATTTTTATTGAATAATATTTTGCTTTAGAAAATCCTCAAGTTCTGAATGAAAAGGCGATAAAATCGGAGAGGGATAAACTCTCTGCAGAGAGGAATGACACAACAAAAAATGACACAGGTAAAGTACAACCGCTTATTTCATTTCTTAGATTATCTCCCTCAATCGCTTCCATGAGGTTCTCACATCTGTATAATGGGGAATAAAAATACAATACGAGGAATATGAGAAATGGAAGATTTCGAACTGTATTAGGACGGCCAGTAATTTATCGATAGCTTTTCCAAGATGTCTGTTATATTTTGTTTTACTGTAAGTCACGTTATGTCAGTGCAGTCAATAATGATTAGTCTGTTAATTTCAAGCTCACGCTGCAATCCAAGGGAGTGGCATTGAAAGATTGAATGACACCCTCCCGAATGATAACAATGGACGTCAGATGGAGGTGGCGAACGGTAAAGAAAATAATACGACCGATTCAAATGGACAACAGACAACAGGTATTATCTGCAAGAACACAGAAAAGAACCTGCTGAATTCGCAAATTTAACCAGCGAGACATGCTAAAATTAATTAACTTAATTAACTGATTCTGTCGCTAATTTCCATTAGCAGAAAACTAAATTTTGTGAATTCTATCCCCAAATTATCCTGATTGGAACCCTAAGGCTGTCTTTCTGGTTCAAAGCCCACTCAAAAATTCATTTCTTGATTCAAATAGATCACGACTTGACTCAAGTATTTTGTCTACCCGATTCCAATAGGAAGAATATCATCCAATCAATGCCAGTTTGAGACTCATTTTGAGTATGAAATAAAATTGTTTTATGAAAGTTGGCGTCTAGTAGAGGTAAATTAAGGAAAGGTCAACTTGAGTCAAGTCGAGCTCTACTTGAATCGAGTCGCCAACTCGACTTGACATTTTTTAGATCCACTCAATCCAAGTCGATTAAATCTACTTGGAATTAGGGACTTTACCCGAATCAAGTCGCAGAATCTACTTGAATCAAGTTGCAGAATCTACTTGAATCAAGTCGCATCCGACCGAAATTAAACTACAGAATCTACCTGAATCGACTGGCTATGCCGATTTGCACATGTGTGAACGCACCTTCATGACGGCATGAAATCAGTCGATTATTATCGACATTATTCCGCCTGAATCCTATCAAGTGGGTCTCCCTACATGATTCAGAAAGTTTTTTGTTTGAGTTACATTGTTCGACATCTCACTCGAAATTTTCCGATATATTTCATTTGTTTTAGGACGATTCACTTCTCTTTAACCGGTTTTAGTCAAATCCTTATTCTATTTCAATGTTCTCCTATTTAGGATCTCCACGCAGACACCGACGACAAACCACTGGCAATTCTAAGGAAATTGGTACCCTGGGATATGGTGGAGATTATGGAGACGATTGGGGCCATGGTGGTCATGGAGGACATGGCTGTGATGATAAGTGGGATTATGGTCATGGAAGCTGGTCGAGCAGAAAGCAGGAATCCTCAAAAAAAATTTAATCAGTTCTCGTTGGCCCGAAGACTCTTCTAATAGTCGATTACCCATTGTCAAAACAATTGACATGTGAATAAATGAATGAAAATCTGTTGAACAATAATTGTCTTTTATTTCTACCGCACCACAGCTCAGACAGATTATTATCAAATATTGATCTCCTGAAGTTGTGAATATTCTCCCGATATGTAGGGACAAGTCGGGCGAAATGGACAATTTAACTTTTTTTGAAATGTTAATGACAGTCAATTTCGTATAAAATGAGACCTACCGTCCCCATCGAGTCAGAGTGACCGACGGCCACAATAGAATCCCTGCAATATCGGCCGGCTGCATGGCTGAGGTTTTCCATGGTTTCCCTGGCAGTCCTTGTCCGAATGAGTGCAGTTGGGGAAAAATAAGTCGGCCGTGGTAACGCATATAACGGGGGATGGGAACAAAATGTGAAGACCCGAGAGGGTATACATATGGATGATTTTAAAAAATACCTCTAGGAGTATTGTAATATAAATATTGTTCTTTCGTCTTTTACAGTGTGTCATCTGCGTCAATGCAAGAGCAACGATGCAGACAGCGCCTTGCGGCCATCGTGTGGTTTGCAGGTACCCATTCAACTTTCCTCATTTCCATAACTTCCCGAGGAAACTCAATCCTTCAATCTTTTCTGGAGGGCTTACTAATCTTGAAACATTATAATTTATAGACGTTGTTTCGTTAAGACGATACAAATGGCCGTCTCCCAGAGACTGTTACCCCTCCGGTGTGTCATATGCCGGGCGAAAATTCTGCGATTGAAGCAGACATTGATACCTAGAGATGTAAGAGAAGATATTGTTCAATATTCTGTAGGAATTAAGGATATCAATCACTGCAGATTCATTTTTTATTGCGTCGCGAATAAAAAATTCAACAAGTTTGAAATAAAAATAAATGTCTCAATTTTTAATGCGTTTTACAATTCTTCATGCATCAGAATTTATCGAGTCTCCGTGATATTAAGGGTGCCAAGTGAATTTGGCGATGACCTTGAAAATTGACATTCACCAACAAAGTTATAATTTTTTTAATTAATAGTATTAGACAGATGGTGAACATCGGTGACAATTTTAAAATTTTAGAACTTATGGATATCGAGAAATTAAATAAACAAAATCAGCCTTATACACGGCCTCTTATGGAGTTTTGATTAAATTGAACGTTTCAACCCCCTAGGAACTCAACAAAAATTTGAAAAAATTTGAAGATATGGGGAATGATGTCTTCAATGTCATGGCGACGAAAAACAATGGGGTACCGGGGTGAATAAGAGAGATATTTCACCCCGCCGTACCCATTTGATCCCATGCTTTCTCGAGGTTCGTCACGCGAAATAGAGGATTTTCCGCATTTATTTTCTCGATGTCTAGTTCCGGTTGCGGGTTTGAAATTTCGTCGGATGGATGAATACATATTTCTCCAATGATGGAGGGACAGAAAAAATTTTTTTTGAATCTTTTTTCAAATTCACTTGGCACCCTTAAGCGCGCGTCAGGCCTCGTAAGGGAAAGGCCTCGTGCGCGAGGGGTTAAAAGAGTGTCCCACAAGTTTATGATTAAAAAATTACTTAGTAAGGTCCTAAACTAGACCGAAAAAAATCATGCAAGTTCCCTATAATTGATAAGAGCATTGCTCACAACATATAGCATTGGTTTGCTTGGATTGACACAAAATCCTTGAGGTTAAAAATTGTAACGGATATATCATCTCATCTTCCAACATATGGACTGACTCCAGCAATAATAAAACTCCTTTTTTCATCAACTATTCAGTACTCAATGTCTGGGAAATCATGGGTACTGCCTCAAAGTGCATCCGAGTACAATATGGGCTCCGCTGGTGTCGGTACCAGTGGCAGTGGCCCGGGTGGCAGGTGGGGAACGGGTTCGGTTCCCGCATCAGCATCGCTTTATTCAATGGCCAGTGGATCATCCTCCATATCTGGTTAGACCTCGTTCCTTATTTAACATTTTTACATCCAAAAAAGTAATACCTTAAGATTTAAGATTTAAGATTAAGATTTAAGATTTCAAAACCTTTAATTAGATGCATAAGACTCACAATAACGGTTTCTTTTGAGTATATGTTTTGTGAACAGTGGAATTATTCCTTTAACTAGAAGTACAGGTCAATTTGATCTATTTATGTATCTATGGCCCGGTTGCACCAGCTCGGGGTAACGAAAGCCTCAGATAAGAAAAAAAGTAAATTTGGATGTTCGATGTATTATTTTACCCGGGAGACTCGCAAATTTATCCCGGGAACAAAAAATAAAATTATTAAATTTTATAAAAAAAAAAAAATAAACAAAAAAAATATTTTACTATTTAAAAATAGTAAATAATAGATTAGTAATAGATTAGAATAATAGGTTAGTAATACATTTTAAATATTTAACTTGTTTAATTTTTTTTTTTTTTTTTAATCGCAAGGTTAAATCAGTGTTAATTCACATGGGGCTACAGGACAAATACAAAATTATTCTGCGGGTCAAATATTGAAAAATTATGACCCCTACGATATAATTGACCCCGAGCATAAATTTTACCCTGGAGTTTATTTAGATAACAGGGCTTGGTGCAACCGGGCCTATTAATATGTTATTTTTTTAATGATAATAATCATCGCGTAATCCTTTTCCATCCAAATAACATTAATTTTGAATGCTTAGGTGTGTCTTCCGTGTCATCAGCAACTTCATCATCAGCCAGTAGTGCAGGGAGTTCATCCATGTCAAAACCAACGCGATTACGTCAACCAACTGGAGCTACTTTTCGAAAAACCCAAACGCAATCGATGAAAATGCGAATACAGGTGAGACAATGAAAATACAATACTTCCATTCGGAAGCAAAAAATGAAGCTCACAATGGCTGAACCGTTTCCACCTTTATCCCCCAATTTCAGGAGTATCAAGATTCCAGTCAGCAGATTGCTGAAGACGACGACGCGATAAGGGACAATCGCGAAAGACGACTGCCACCAATAAAAGAATTTCAGCGAGATTATCGCGCTGGAAAAGCTTCCACAAGGCTGAGGTATTTATTTTTCCAATTCCCTCCCGATTTCAGAAAAATAAGTAATATTCCAAATTTAAAAAACATTATTTTCGACACTATTGATCAAGAAGGCGGAATCAAAGGGGCGTATGTACGGGACGTAAGGAGAGTCTGTGATTAGAGAAGGCTTTTCTGAAAAATAATGCAATACGCGTAACTGATTCCAGAAAAATTAATTAATTCACGAAAAAAAATCGAAGCATGAAACATCAATATTGTGTTATAATGGAAAACTATTTGAAAATTTGGATTTTTTGGGTTCAGTGATTGAATCAGGGCTCGATAACAATAGGACTCCCTTTCCGTTTCACCCCNCCCCCCTCTGAGAGCTGCAGAAGAAATAACTCAATCGTCGCCAGATAATCCCTTTGCGTGGAATTTCTGTGAAAAGATAAATAGCAAAGGAACAAATACACGTACGACCATTCAACATTACGAAGGGAAAGTTTTTTCCAAAAAAATGTAGTTACGCCCTTTTAAGCCCTTCAGCAACGATATTGCAAGTTGCCAAATTTATGAATTTTAAGTTATAATTATAATATATTTCAGATGCGCACAGAAAATAGTAACTCAACTTGAGATATCCCCAACTCACCGAGTTCCTCCGAGTAATCCCCCAGCTCCATCATCGTCATCATCCTCAGCATCGACCCGTGCATCTACAAAAAGGCCAAGCTCAGCCCCTAGAACAGTCCTAACAGTAGCTCAAGAGGTGCAGAAATCAAAAAAAGAAAAGGAGAAGGAGAAAGAGCGCGAGAAAGCGGAAAAAGCGAGACAAAAGGAGGAGGAAAAAGCGGAAAAAGCAAGAGCAAAGGAGGCAAAAAAATTGGCGAAAGAAGAGAAGAAAAGAGCAAAAAAAGAGGCTAAAGCCCGACGAAAGGAAGCAGAAGAGGCGCTCCTCAGGGATGATAAATAATTCCCCAATAAGAAAATCTTTGTTGTATCCTCTACCCCCATTCTCCTGCCAATGTAAAATCCAAAACAATGAGAAAATCCCCACAAGAAATAATCTAGAACAATAAAATGGATTTGATAACCTAGATGAAAATAACGGCTTAAAAGCATTAAGAGGGGAAAACTGATGAAAATTAAAATTCATAATGCAGTAGTCAGGGCTGGCGGAACCCATATAGTGGATTTCAAAAAAATTGAAGAGTTAAATTTTGCGGCTAAATAAAAAGGCTCTATTACCATTCGAATATAATAAGGAAAATTACCGAAACGCGAAAAAAATTTTGCTCCACGAATTCTCCTCGCTCGTTGAATTTTAAAGCCCTAAATGATCGCAACGAAATCATTACCGACACGAGAGTATGATGAAACGACTTGAGGGTTGTCTGAAGTGGATGAATAATGTTTAAAAATGCTAAAAAATGCGAGGTGGTAACCGATTCTGGCGCCGCCATGTTGTTTGGATCTCGAGGGATTTATCCTGTCGGCGTAGCGGGAGAGAGGGAAGGGCCAATGACTCGCGCGCGTGCCATGTGTGAGTGCGTGACGTGACGAAAACGCTCCCCCACTCTCGCGTGCCCAGGGCCGTAGGTAGGTCACAGGGTGTAGGGGTTTACATTCAAACAGTGTCCGCGTTTATTTCACGAAATCGGCCGCGCGTGCCGCGCACGCACTGATAGAAAGATTCATTTATTGCAAACGAGATTCGTTAACTATTAACGAATCTAGAGTTGAATATGACCAAATGAATATTCGTTAATCTTTTTTTTCTTTTATTGTTTTAGAGTGCTGAAACCCATACATTAGGTTATTTACACTTTCATATATTAATCAATATTAATTCAATTACGTCTTCTTATTACACATTACTTAGATTAAACCTGGATTTTACTCGTTAACAGTTAACGAATGGTTCACTTGAATGGCGAAAGTCAAGTCAAACAAGGCTCCTCAAATATACGTTCGTTAATTATTAACAAATGAACATTTAGTGGGACCGAATAGACCCTAACATCCAATGAAAATCCATTCGTTAACAATAACTAATCCGTTCTATCAGTGCGCGCCTTCTCATCTCCTCGCGTAGTGGCGCTTCGGTTTCAGTCTTACGCTTACGCTTATTCGAAATTTTCGAGATACTTCGAGACCGATTTCCTTTCTCCTCTTTACGATAGGATTTTTGTCAGTGTTTTCGTTCATTCGTCGTGTGTAACACACGATGTTGTCGATTCAGTCTCCGTTCACACTTACTATGATTATCACAGGAATGACATCGGAAGACCATCTCGTCTAATTTTTGAAAATGACATTCAAAAGTTATTAATCAATAAATTTTGCACGATAAAATAAATTATATGGGAATGAATCACGTTATTCACTGATGAAAGAATTAGTTATTGTCAACAAATGGAAATGTACATTCGTTAATAGTTGACAAATGCATATTTGAGGATCCTTGTTCAACTCGACTTTCACCTTTCAAGTGAACCATTCATTAATAATTAACGAATCTCGTTTGGAATAAATGAATCATTTTATGCATTGAGACCCCGGGTGATGGTCACGGCCCTGCGATCTCTCCCCACCGCAACCAAAAATCGTGCAAGACTCTGCCAGGCGCTGGGGTGGGGATCGGACATTTCTATTCAGAGGGTCAACAAGATGGCGGCGCCCAGGTCTGTCGTCCAACTGTGGATTTCTAAACATTTATTTAAATGAGTTACTATTTTAAATTATGTCATCCCTTCATCATACTCTCCGGATGGTCAGGAAGTTGTCGCAATAATTTCGCATAAATTTTCCCGTATTCCGGTACTTTTTTTACGCTCAGACCGTCTCAATTTGACTCCCTGAGAATATTCGTACAGCTCTTTTTTCAATAGAAACCCTAGCATCAGCCCAGATATTCCTATTTCGCCGACCCTGACGTTAGTGGGATTCAAGCAGTGGCCAAAAATAATTAAAATACGAAGAAAAAAATCAATAAAATCTTTGAAGATTAAATAGTTGACTTACGATTAGTTGAAACGACTAGGACTTCTAGTTTTAGGTTTTGGGAATGAAATAAATAAATAACCAGAAATGTTCCTTTGGTCAATTGTTTTGATAAGGAACAATGCATTTTTAGCCTAAGAGTTCAATTGAATGATCCTCTGCGTTCTCTAACTAGATTAGAAGACATTTTAAATAATTTACAAAAACTATAGCAGCGATTTTCCTCACCGAGCCATGAATTAAAATCGGAATGCCATTATAAATCAAAAGTAGTCTTTTTTTAGGTAGCGGATCAATATAAAAAAGAACGTGATAGAAGGGGTGATAAAAATCATCGTTAAACAATGATCATTATGAGAAAGAAATTATATCATTCCTGATAATTCCATTACTTTGGGTTAATATTTTTAAATAGTGGAGGGTTGTTTCTGGAATTATTGAAAGTGAGTTATGAGATTTGATGATGTGCCATTTTTTGGAAATTGTTTTCGGAAAGTATGGACTTGTAACACTGAGAATAACGATAAGATCTCGACGCACATATCAAAATATTAGAAGATTATATTGGCTTTAGTCGATTTGGCTAGTTAACCCTAGTAAGTCAATTACCATCGTTGTTGAGAAAATTTTATCAAATTGTTGAACCGTGGCTCATTGAAAACTCGGGAGATAGATAAACGGGGGGAGAAGTAGAAGTTAAGGTGAAAGGATTGTTTTTATTTCAATTAGTTGATTGAACAGATATCAATTACTCACCGGTTGATGGAATAGATGTATATTAAAATCACCGATTCATGATTAATCATTACCATGTATCTCACTTGTATCAAATGTTAGCTTTCTGCTCACTCAAGTATTTACCGCTTTCATTGTCATACCATCATCAAATCAGTAGCGAAGTGGTTAAACGGATTAAGTCGACTCATCTCCCAGTTGAATTTTTGAGGAATATTTCCGAATCTAAGGGAGATAGCGAACTTTTCGTAATTACATTTGTTGTAGCTCTCAATCGGCCCTACAAAAAAGGTTATAACAAAAATTTTACTATCTCCCTTGGATTCCGAGATATTTATTGAAAACTGGTCAATAGTCAATATTGACTTGTATCGCTTTAACACTTCGCCACTGAAATATAATTTCTGGGATGAAAAACAGTCGGATCTCTGCCTAATTGCGACCGCTGCTTGACGAAGCAAATGATCGAGTCCTAAACTCTGTACAAGATGTTGGTCCATTTCTTATTTTCGTCTTGATTGGAAAAATTATCTTTGAATGGGGGGAAATGTGGAGTGGAGTGGGATCATCGGCGAAACCCCGTTTGTAATTTCATTTTACGGACATGAATGGGGATTTTTCTTGAAAGTTTTCAATTTTTTCATTCGATAGTTCGATGGTAGCGCATCCAAGATAAAACTTTCCGAATCTCTTTTTTTTATTTGAAAAAATAATATGCGAGGCGTGAGGCATAGGGCAAACGTCGGTTATGGGCCCCCCGAACTCGATTTTTCCATCTTATGAAGAAGAGGTTCTTACGATATTAAAAAAAAAATTAATCCGCGATAGAATCATAAATTCTGAATACGGTGAATTTTTTTTTAAATTTTTTACTACATATTCAACTTTAAAAAATGGAAATTTCCTGAAAGAATTTCTCATTTGATTCAAAAAATTAATTAACAAATAATTTCTTATGTGATTTAAAAAATTAATTAACAAATAATTTATTATTTGATTCAAACAGTGATTGTTGTCTGCATCAACAACACATGAGAATAGAAAAACTCAACAACTAATGAGAAAACAATAAATTAAGTCTTTAGAATTCTTTCCAGAAATCAATCGGGACAAACTTTTGAGTGTTTTTGTCTTGGGTTATACCAATTCCCACTCCATTCCAGTTTCTGTGTGACGTATGGTATAAATAAAGAAGAAAAAAAACATCGTCTCGAAAAAAAACAAATATCTCATGTATAGAGATGGAGCTGTAGACAAATTATCAACGCTTTCATGATAAAACGGAATATGATTTTGTGAAATTTATCTATCACCGGAAAAATCGTTATTAGAACCATCATAAGTGGTCAAATCAAGCACGAAATTATTTTCAAATGATCAAAATAATTTCGTGCTTGTCAATCATCATATATCCATGAACTCCATATGAAATTAAAAATATAATTCATTCTAAACGAAAATAAGTCGTTATTCCCAGTGTCGGAGAAAAACGTAAAAAACGAATGAAAAACAGAAATAGGATAATGTTAACAATCTGATAAATTCTCAGTCATACCAGAAATGTCAATTTTTATCGAGTGCATGGCGTGCTGAATCCTCTCATCGTTGGCGTGTGCTTGAACACAAGGATGTAACCGTCAACCAAAAATACGAGAGAAAGAAAAAACGCGAGATAGAACCAAATAATAATCTAAGAGGAATAAAATACATGGAAATGAAAAGGTAAAGAACGGGAAAAAACTATCTGTGCTGCATTTGTATTCTGTAGGTGGACGCGACCTTCGCGCGCCTCAAATCGATCATTCGATCCTTCAGTCGCCCTCACGGTCGATTGTCGTGAGGACGAGGGGGGAGGAGGTGGAGAAAAATAAGCTGTGCAACCCACGGAATAACTCGTGAATACGGAATATCATGACGTTTAAGATGAGGATAATACAGCTGATTGTGAAGATCTTTAGAAAAATTCGGACATGTGAGCAGATCCACGTAAATCAGCAGGACAATAAGTCGAGGCTGGGGATTTTCGTCTCAATTTTCAACATTTTTTGAATATTGATTTTATTTATCAGATTGATTGATTTTTGTCTCATCACCTACGGGTGTCAAATAGTTTTTATTGGGTGCTATTCTAATTATTGAAATAATATTAAAATTTACATTAACATTAACATGTTAATTACATTTTTCAAAGCGCTTTCGTTTGTTGGTAATCAAGAATTTAATAGAATTGACTCATTTTCAATTATTCCATTGAATATTCGCTCATTTGGGGGATAATTACATGAATTACAGCGATTTTCGGTCATTTTCAATACTTGTCCCACTGAAAAAAATTATAACCGCCGAACTACGGTGAAAGACAAACTCTAATTGGCACAAAAATTCCTTTCATTTTATTGACAATTTTTGGTGAAAATTTTAGATTAAAAAAATTTGCTTTCTCAGTAATTGACGAACGAAAAAAAAAGTTTCCTCGTATAAACCGCATCAAACTGAGGATAATGCTATGTATAACGTCTCATTTTGATGGGTTTTTCATGCTCTTTGAGTGTGCCAAAAAATCATGACACCCTCAATTATCAATATTTTTCTTTTTTCCAAAATTTTGTCTAATCTCCATCTTTTCAGAAAAAAAATTGAGACAATTTTTTTTGAAAATTTTTTAAAAAAATTTTTGAGAAAAAAAAATCCTCAGCATCGATTTTCTTGGCCTGCTGATTTGGGTTGGATCTGCTGATATTGAAGCGTTTAAACTGCATCTTTACTGTAATTGTGATGTTATTTTTTATACATGTTCTGAGTTGAATAAAACCTTTGTTTTTACGACATACTTTTCTTTTCTAGTGTAGTTGAGCATATGAATTTCAAAAATGAAAAAATATTTTTCATGTTTTTTATCAGTAAATTCGACAATGTTCAACTGTGAACTCCATTTTAATTATTTCTAACGAAGAACACGGATTTTATCCTGACGGATATGCATCCAAAAGACGTGAAATCAATATTACGAAGGTACGAAAACTAGATGAGGAAATAACAATAATAAAATATTCCATAAATGAAGGAAAATGTTGGCAATAACTATTTGGTCGCAGTATTACCTAGGCAGATTTGTCATACTGACTTCAAGAGTATCATGCAATCAGTCAAAGAGATTTTAATTCGCTTGCATTCGATGGTCAACATTCTGCAATAAAAACAGCCGAATTGACATTTAAAATAGACTTGAATCAAACACGTGATCAATGATGAAGTATTGAAACTTTTAGTTAGGTAGGTTTTGAACGATTCGACATTTGGAAATTATTGCGAATTTCTTCGTTGAAAAATTAATCAATGACAGGTTTATATATCGTGATATTATCAAATATAAGAGGGTATAATAGAAGCTAGAAGAGGTAGCTTTTTTTATTTTATATGCGCGCTTCTATAGAAAAACTTCAGGATGCAGAAAATTAGGGACAAAAATTACCCAATCAATAACCAATGTTTTATTGAAGAAGGCGACGTGAATACGAAAATGAATAGAAAATAGAGGTCATGTCGAATGAAACTCGTATCTTCGAAATTCCACACTTTGTAACGGCTTATTATAAGCGTTAGAGTATCTGACGAGTCTATTTTTAGTAGTTTTACTCAAGCGACTGTCGAAAAACATTATTAATTGGAAAATCGAAAGACCTTCGTGAGACATGTATAAACTTATATTATGCGATGTTTACTTAATTGACTGTAACGTGGTACAGTGGACGGAAAAAATAAAAATCAAGCAGTTGAAAAAATTTGGACTTTATTAAATCCTCGATTCGAATAGAAACGCTCGAAAGTGTATTTTCCATGCTATTGTATAGCGTAAGATTTTTTTATGGCGTGCTATAGTAGAAAGGAAATATTTCTCATTTTTCAGTAGAATTTTTTTCAATACTTGAAACCTCATTCAATTACTGATGAAATGGAATAATTTTTTTTCCTTGAAGAGCAATTTTCTTTCCCTTTGTTATTCCTGAGTTATGAATATTTGAAAAAATGTCAGAGGCATCATATTCAATTGCCTTCACTTCAGTAGCGAAGCGGTAAACCGGGTTAAGTCGATTTTGACTGTTGGTCAGTTTTTGACGAATATCTGGGAATCTAAAAGAGATGGAAAAATTTTTGTTATGACCTTTTTTGTAGAGTCAACTGAGGGTTATAAAAAAGGTAATGAGCAAAATTTTGCTATCTCTCTTAGATTCCGAGATATTTGTCAAAAAATGCCCAAAAGTCAAAATCGACTTAACCCGGTTTACCGCTTCGCTACTGAATTGAAAGCTCGAGTTGTAGAACAGTTCCTCAATAGTTTTTCCTCAATAGTTCATTATTTTTTTGGGTGTCATGGAAATTTCCCTTATTGAGAGTGGGGTACCCTCGGAGGTTATAGCTTGATGGAGGGATTACAAAAACATCCAAATTTCATTATTTTTTTTCTCGAAACTGAGATCTGAGGAAAATGTGCAAGAATTCTCAATGTTGCAGCATGCTTAGAAATTTCCCCCATGAATTTTCCAATTTTCTTTCATTATTATGACTTTTCAATCGAAACACCTTAAAAAAGCTTCCATTCGGAAGCAAAAACGAGCAGCAGAAACCTTCCCAACAACCTGCGAGATGTCGCCAGAAGTCGAAAAATTTCCTGACCTTCATGACACGTCTGAAGAATCAAACAATTCTCCCGCGGGAGCGCTGGAGATCGTCGCCGTGGAGCCCCGTAAATTCCAAGTACCGTGGTATACTGACGTTTAACGTCCAAGTGCTTCACCTCTCTCGAATTGATCGAAAAATTGAGTGCAAAAATGTTTAAATGATGTGAGAATTTCCGCAATAATTTCAAAATGAGCAGGATGGTGAGAAATGCCTGTCCAGGAGGCGGCCTGTACGTCGTGGAGGGTGAGGTCAGCCTCCTGATGACGGCTATGCGACGAGGAGTGAGATGGTCATCTCACTCGCATCAGGTGATTAAAAAAATTATAATGAAAAAATTCCCTGAATCATTCACAATTCTCGCGAATTTGGTATTTATTCTGTTTCGCCTGTCATCGAGCTTTTAACCTCGAAAAGTGGAGGTTTTAAAGAGACTTGGAGGTTAGGTCTGTCGTGTTGTCATTCTTGATGTTTCAGAGAGTAACAGATGTTTGAGAAAAATGGAGAATCAGTCGCTTTTTATTATTTACTAGGTGATGGCAGCGAGGAGATCCTGATATTTTCGTTATTGACTTTTTCCAAAAAATTCAGAAAACCGATTGGATTTGTTTTTACCTATCCCTAAGCTCAATCTCATTGTGAAGAATCATTTTTGCTTCCGAATGGAAGCATTGCAATCCTTCAAATTTAAGTTTTCTATTTTTTGTGTTATATCGACCCATTTTTACCCCAAAAGTGCGAAAATGCATTTTTGTGTATGTAACAAACTTTTTCTTCAATTTCTCCCTAATGAACCAATGGAATTCAATTTTTTTTTCGTAAATGAAGGTATTGCTAGGCCCTATCCATCGCCATTAAATAAAGTTTAATTCATTGGTTAATTTTTTTAATTTTCGATTTTTTTCACAATTCAGTTGTAACACGATAACTAAAGAAAAAACGTTATAAATTGATTGAATGACGGTTTAAAAAATTCGTTGGGATGTTCTTTTGACAGAGTTCAAAGACGAAAGTGATAGCAATACTCGTTATGTCGATTTCTGTGGAATTTTTCCAAATCAATTAGAATTTTAATAATAAAAAAAAAGTTGTGAATAACTCAAGGAAATTGGAGTTTTTTTTTATTTCTCAGGTTGTTCCAGGGTTAAAATCGAGCCTCAATTTCTTCTGAGAAATTTTTTTAAACAATTATTTAACAATAAATCATTTCAGAATTTCCCAATTGTCGAGAAAATTGCAATTGTTGAAAATTTTCTTCCAGTTTTTTTTTAAATTACAGACTCTGGTTCGTTCATGTTTTTTTGAATGACCTGAGAGGAGAAATTCGGTAAAAATGTTTTGTTTATGATAAACTCCCAATGAATTGATTTCATTTGTAGGATGAGGATCAAGATATTCTTATGAAAGGATTGTCCACCCTCAAAGAAGCACTGAGTGATGCCAGGAGTTTATCTCAGTTGGAACCTGGCGTGTTCCTGGCGCCTTTCCTCGAAATCATTCGATCAGAGGAGACCACTGGGCCTGTCACCAGTTTGGCACTTGCTGCTGTCAACAAAATGATTTCATACGGTCTTATAGGTAATTAATTTTCCGAATGACTTTCACTCAATTCTTGCATCGATGAAGTCCCTATATCAGCTGTTGCAGCGGAAAAGTAGGGAAAGTGTTACGTCATGAGTGTTACATAAAAGATTTTCTTCGCTTTTAAGTTATTTTCAATGAATTCAGAAAAATTTCAATTCTCCGAATAATAATTTAGATTTTTGGAAACTATTCCGATATTTGTCTTTATTCTCTCTTACTAATGACCAATTATAGGTAGTTTTATCGACTTTTAGATTGCATTTACAAAGATTTGTCTAAAATCAACTCGTTTTTTCGTAGTTTTCAAGAAATTTTGACTGTTCATATAATTTTCTTCAAAAAATAAAAAGTTTTCTGGATTCTAGATTTTGACGTGGAATCAGAATCAGAATTTTCATGATTAGAAATTGGGAAAAACGCTAAAAAATAATTCAAAGTTTAAATTTATTAGTTTCTACGCAACAGCAGTCAAACCGAAAAACGATCTTGATAAAATATCTCCGAATTTTGATGATCGACTCATATCACTACTAATTGAAAACAATAAAATTTCCTGTGGTGGAAAAAGTTCTGATTATTCTCTTATCTCTCCTTAAAATATGACATTTGAATTGAGAAAAATCTCAACTATTTATACGCTTTTCTTCAAAAAATAAGAAATTTTCTAGATTCTAGATTTTGCCTCGGAATACATCAAAATTTTCCTGATTAAAAATCAGGAAAAACTCTATATTCAAAAAACTGCGTGTTAAAAATCATGGTTCCCAGACTTAACAATTTCCTCCTCTGCGAATAATGTCATAACGTCACAGAATAATTTTTCTCATTCTCAGTCTCGACCGCCACTAAAAAACAGAAAAAAAAAATCATTCAAAGTTAAAATTTACTAGTTTTTGATAAAATACGAAGCTGAAACTAGCGAAAGATTCGACAGCAGAAGATTTGTCTCAGGCGAATCTATGTACAAATGTTTTCAAGTAGTACAAACTCTTTCGCACCAAAAAAACATTTGTAGACATGATTATTTGCCTCTCCTCCCCTTAAATATCCCCTCAAAATTAAATTTTCCGCGTCCGAATATTGACCTAGTTCCAGCTTCATTGACAAAATATCTCCAGAAAACTCCAACTCCTCAGCCATTAGCGGTCATTAAAACGATTTGATTAATCACTCGAACTTATAAAAAACGGAAGATCCCAGAAGATTTGCCTTTCTGCCAAAGTTAAAATAATCATTCTCATTAATCCATAAGTTCTTCGTGAAGAAGAATATCTCCGAATGTTGACGATCGATTCCCCACTCCCCAAAAATAATACTTAATATTCTCCAACTAGACCCCGAGCACCCAGCGATCGGTCCCTGCGTGGAGGGAGTGGCAGACGCGGTGACCCACGCGCGGTTCGTCGGCACCGACGCCTCTGGCGACGGAGTCGTCCTGATGCGAATCCTCCAAGTCCTCCGGACGCTAGTGCTCTCCCCAGCGGGCGATCACCTCTCCGACGAGAGCATCTGCGAAATAATGCTCAGTTGCTTCAGAATATGCTTCGAAACCCGATTGAGCGAGCTCCTCCGCAAAACCGCTGAGCACTGCCTTCGCCACATGTGTCAGCACCTCTTCGTGCGCCTCCCCCACTTCGCGGACGACACTCGAGTCCTCCCAAACATGAAGAAGATGCGAGCAAATGGCATCGAAAATTCTCGATCGAAAAATCGAAAGACGAAGAATCATCCGAAGCAAAAGGTCACCCCCAATCCGGATGAGGTCGACGAGACTGAAACGAAGGAGCTGCTGAGCCCAGTGGATCGAGTGTGTGCAGGTCACCTAGCAACGACTCCTGTGACGCCAGCGGGAAATATCGTGGACATGCAGGGGTCCCTGAACCAAAGCACCCCGGACAAACCGGAGGACGAAAAGGCCCCGAAAACCGAGGATTCGAAGTGCGAGCCCCCCTCTGGCCAGTCAGAGTGCCCCGAGGGTGACGCCAAACCCCAGGAGCAAGTCCCTCCCCCTCCAGGAGCGGCTGAATCCCCAGAAAATCCGGAAACCGAGGCTCAAAAATCAGAAAACCCCCGAATAAATCCCGAAAAGCCCGAAGAACCTGATAAATCAGAGACTACAACCGAGCCCCCACCCCAAACCGAAGGGGAAAAGAGCCCCGAATTGGTCCAGTCCCCCACAGGAAGTGTGGAGGACCTCTCAGTCGACGACACCGCCAGCACCACCACAGGATCCAAAGTGCCAACGATCAAAGTAGACCCAGAACACCTCGAGGAATACGTAAATAAACAGGGGGTTCGTTTCACCCCCCTCCAGCAACTGTCTCCCTACGGTGCCCTCTGCATCCGCGAGCTGTTTCGCTTCCTGGTCTCCCTCTGCAATCCCCTGGACAAGCAGAACACAGAGGTGATGACTCACCTTGGTCTCTCCCTCCTCCAAGTGGGCCTGGAGATATCGGCGGACGCTCTAGCCAACTTTCCCTCCCTCATTTCCCTGGTGAAGGACGAGCTCTGTCGAAATTTGATTCTCCTGTTGAGCACTGAAAGACTCTCGATCCTAGCAGCAGACCTTCAAGTCTCTTTTCTCCTGTTCGAGTCCCAGAGAGAACACCTGAAGTTCCAGCTGGAGCATTACATCCTGAAGCTGATGGACATCGTCAACTCTGACTCCAACAGAATATCCTATGAGCAGAGAGAACTAGCCCTCGAAGCCATCACGAGACTCTGGAGGATCCCTGGCCTGCCAGCAGAGTTATACCTCAATTACGACTGTGGCCTCTACTCCAGCAATTTGTACGAGGACCTGATGAAGATGCTGGCTGAGCACGCATCCGCCCTCATGGGCACCATGTACAGCATGCAATTCATCTCCCTAGACGCCATAATCCAGCTGATCGGTGGCATTGAGGCCCGATGCAAGGGCTACAAAGACCTGTGCAAGCCATCGCGTCACTCTGCCTCAGCCAATCTCCCCTCCAGAGAGCAACTGATGATGACGAAAGCCAACAAGCGCTGGTTGGCCCTGGCCACCGAGAAATTCAACGACAATCCTCGAGAGGGTATCGCCAAACTCATGGAGCACGGACTGCTCGGGGACGTTCCTGGTGAGCCTGATCCCGAAAAAATAGCGAAACTATTGCGAGAGAATCCAATGATGGATAAGAAGGCCATCGGCGAGTACATAAGTCGAAAGGAGAACAAGAACATTCTCAACTGTTTTGTGCAGAATTTCGATCTGAGGGACACGCGAGTGGATCAAGCCTTGAGGTCGTACTTGGAGTCCTTCAGACTCCCTGGGGAGGCTCCTCTGATCTCCCTCCTCCTCGAGAAATTCGCGGACCACTGGCACGACAGCAACGGTAGGCCATTCGCCTCGGCCGACGCAGCCTTCACCCTGGCCTACGCTGTAATAATGCTGAATGTCGATCAGCACAACTACAACGCTAAGAGACAGAGTAATCCTATGACAGCGGAGCAGTTCAAGCGAAACCTGAAGAAGGTGAATGGCAATGCGGATTTTGATCAGGATATGCTGGACGAGATTTACAATTCCATTAAAAACGAGGAGATTGTCATGCCAGCTGAGCAGACAGGATTGGTGAAGGAGAACTACCTCTGGAAGGTCCTGCTGAGGAGGGGATCATCCCCAGAGAGTGTCTACCTGAAAGTGGGGAATGAGGGTGAATTTGTGGACAAAGACCTGGCAGAGAGGGCCTGGGCTCCCATAATCAGCGCCCTGTGTCGTGCCTACGACAAAGCGCCGGATCGTGGACTCCAGCGTCGAGTGGCCCAGACATTCCTCTGCTGCGCAGCCATCAGCGCCCACTACAGCATGAACAGTGATCTGGACACTCTGATTGTCTCCCTGTGTAAATTCACCGGTCTGGCAACAGGTGGTGAGCCCGATCAGGTTGTTCTCCACCTTGGGGGTAGTGGGAGATGCCAGCTAGCAGCGAGAACCCTCTTCAAGATAACGCACTCCCACGGGAATGGGATCAGAGCCTCCTGGAAGAACATAATCGACTGCATGCAGACACTCTGCAAGGCTCGGCTGCTCCCCCAGTGTCTGACTGACGGTGAGGACTTCATCGATCCCTCAGGCAAGGTATCGTTGATCAGGGAGCCTGCCACGCCCAAGCAGCCCCCCCAGGAGCAGAGTATTCTCTCCAGTCTGTACTCTTACATCGCCCTGGACACCACGAGGGTCCCCCACCCAGCGGAGGCAACCACCAGAAAACGTGCGACCGACTGCATCGCCAATTGCAATCTCAAGCAGATAATTGAGGAGTCGAAATTCCTGGAAGTTGACTCTTTGCGATCACTAGTCGGCGCTCTGGTGTCAGTCAACTCCCACGACGAGGACATCTCCGTATTTCTCCTGGAGCTTCTCCTCGAGGTGACGATTCAGAATCGCGACAGAGTGATGAGCATCTGGTCGATTGTCCTCGCCCACATGGACGGATTGCTGACCACAGCTGCCAGGGAGAACCACCCCTACCTCCTGGAGCGAGTGACAGTGGGAATGTTGAGGCTGGCAATTAGATTACTCCGCAGTGAGGAGTTTGCGTACACAGTGTTGCCCCCACTGATGCCACTGACGCACCTCCAGTCAGCCACGACGACACCTCTAGCCAGGCAAATAGCATTTGGCCTCTTCGAGCTGCTGAAGACAGGTGCAGCCAATATTCACACGTCTGACGACTGGAGGGTGGTGTTCAGCCTGCTGGAGTGCTCGGGAGCTGGTGCCCTGGCCCCCAAACAGCAGGGGAACACTGTACTCGAGGAGACGTCATCGAGAACGTCTGTCCTGGACCAGAGGCCGATATCCCCAGTGCCTGAGTGGGTGTTGGTATCGCCAACAGGCACCGAGGCCCCACTACCAGTGGCAGCAGACACCATTGTCCTCGACAGGGATCTCCTCCCTCACGATGCAGCAGCCCTCGTCAAGTGCTGCGAGAGCCTGACATTCCTGGTTCGCGATGTTGCCCACGTGACCCCATTCAACTTTGAGCTGTGCATAAGGTGCATCAGAACACTGGCTGAGGCTGTCCTGCAGGCCCCAACCAAGAGGGCCAGGTTGTCCCAGGGGGCGATGGAGACACCGGGCTATCAGGAGTGTCCGATTCAGTTGTTGGAGCTCATGCACACCCTGCACACGAGAACGGCGCAGGTGTTCAGGTGGTGGGCAGAGGAGAATGGAAGTACTGAGACCATTTCACTGTGGCCACACGCCTGGAGGCCTCTTCTCCAGGGGATAGCCAGGCTCTGCTGCGACTCTCGGAGGCCTGTGCGAGCAGCTGCCATTACGTACCTCCAGAGTACACTTTTAGCCCACGACCTGAGCCAATTGTCAGCTGTCGAGTGGTCCCAGTGCCTCGAGCAAGTTCTTTTTCCACTTCTTGCTCAGTTGCTGGGGCCCATCTGTGGGAATGATCCTGTTGGGGTCGAGGAGACCAGGATTCGCGCTGCTATGCTGCTGTCCAAAGTCTTTCTGCATCATCTGACTCCTCTGCTGACACTGCCCGGGTTCTTGCCCCTTTGGCTCACCGTTTTGGATCTCATGAGGGCCTTCATGCATGCTGATAACAGCGAGCTGCTGTTTGAGGCCATTCCTGAAAGCCTGAAGAATATGCTGCTTGTTATGTCTAGTACTGGGGTGCTGACGTCGTCTTCCAATCTCTGGGAGCCAACGTGGAGGACCATCAATGGGTTTCTGCCTAATTTGAAGGGGGAACTGTTCCCGGATCCACCGAGGCTCGAGGAGGCAGAGAAAATTGGGTCGCAGTCCCCTGTTTTGAGTCTTGTGAGGGTTTCTGAGGCTGAGGGCATTCCAGTGCTCATTCCTGGAATGGGGGAGGCTGGAGCCTCGGGGGTGTATCCAGGATTGCGAGAGGGCGAGCCTCAGGGAGGGGTGAGGGAAGGGGTGGGGAGGGCTGGGGATGCCTCGGGGATTTCTGTGGCTGCTTCTGCCATCGGGGAGGATGGGGTACTTCTGAGTCGGTCACCAACGCATTCGGGGGTGCAGCAGCTGGGGGGGCAGCAGGAGAAAGTCGGCGGTGAGGAGAAGGTTGGGGTATGTGAGGCGGATCGACCTCTGGGGCAACCACCACAGGTGGAGGCTAGTCATGTAGGAAAATTCGAGGATGTTGGCAGGGGGGAGTATCCTGGAGGGGAGGGCAGGGAGCAGCAGGTGATCAATCTGCTCAGCCAACCACCTCCCAGCGTGTCCAGCCCTGTGGCTGTGCAACCCACCTCACAGGGGTACGAATTTTATCGGACCAGTGTTGGGGTCAGTGAGCAGGAGCTCGCTGGGAGGTATCACGATGTTACCCATGAAATTAAGGAGGAGGCGGGGGACTTCAGGCGCGACGGGAGCCCCAGCAAACATCCAAGTCAAGTGCGTATGCAAACTTTCAGTTTTTATAGTGAGAGAGTAACGTTTTTTCTTGTATTTACGAATTTTTCTGAGGAAGAATTACATTATATTAATCCGATAAAATTTTTTATCTACGATTTATATTCTTTGCTATTTTTTAAATGTATTCTATCAAAATGTGAGGATAGATATTGAATTGATGGGTATTCTTCCATTATTTGAAAAAATATATCAATTTTTAAACTTTACGGAGACTGAAAAATCGAAATTTTTATTTTCTTACTGATCACGTATCTTTTTTTTTTCACTTTCTTCCAGTGAAATTAGATCATAGAAAGGGAACATATTGATAGTTTTTCGGCATCTAAAAAAAATTAAGGAGGTAGCATAAAAAATGAAAAAGATGGAAATAGTTATATGAAAAATGTAGTACATAAAGAAATTTTTGAACAATATGTAATTGTGAAAAATATATAGATCATCATCCCAAAAAAAGTATCAATACTCTCCTTATTATTTAACATAATTATCTCTTCATTTGAAAATGAAAAAAACTGTTCCCACAATTTGTATACTACAATGGGATTAGAATCCAATAAATTTAATTTTCGTGAGAAGACCCGGTAAACCGCGATTTTAACCTCGCTTCGCTCGGTTTGGGTTGGGAAATTTTTGAACAATATGTAATTGTGAAAAATATATAGATCATCATCCCAAAAAAAGTATCAATACTCTCCTTATTATTTAACATAATTATCTCTTCATTTGAAAATGAAAAAAACTGTTCCCACAATTGGTATACTACAATGGGATTAGGATCCAATAAATTTAATTTTCGTGAGAAGACCCGGTAAACCGCGATTTTAACCTCGCTTCGCTCGGTTTGGGTTGGGAAATTTTTGAACAATATGTAATTGTGAAAAATATATAGATCATCATCCCAAAAAAAGTATCAATACTCTCCTTATTATTTAACATAATTATCTCTTCATTTGAAAATGAAAAAAACTGTTCCCACAATTTGTATACTACAATGGGATTAGAATCCAATAAATTTAATTTTCGTGAGAAGACCCGGTAAACCGCGATTCTTACCTCGCTTCGCTCGGTTTGATCGCGGTTTACGGGCCTTCTGACGAAAAATTGCATTCATCACACGGTGCAAAAGTATTTTCTGACGAATGTGATTATAGGCCTCGCCTTCGGCTCGACCTACAAAGCCACATTCGTCAGAAAATACTTTGTGGACCTTGTGATGAAAATAACTATTAATCTAACCGCAAAGAAAAATTGGAAAGAAAACAATAAAATAAATTAACATAATATAATATAATATAATGATTAAGGGGTTTCGGTTGAAAAGTCAAAGTAAAGAAAAAAGTGCATCATTGGGAATTCTTTTCCATGGCACCCAAAAACATAATGAACTATTAAGAAAAAACTAGTGAGTGATAAATAAAATCTTTCTTGAGAACACATATAAGTGTCAGATCTTTTTTAGATTTCATAAGAAAGTTATTTGAACAAATGATTCGGAAAATTATGAGTTTCGGGGCAGAATAACAGCAAATAAAAATTATTTGCACAGTAGTCTTCCCTTAAAACAGAATAATTTTATTTTTCCAGATGAATTCATCATCAGTAGCAACAACAATGTTCAACTCAGCAGCATATTTCGCCGACGATCCAGCTGCCGATCGTCTCTTCGCCGTAACCAACCCTTGACGGCTGTACATTTATTATGTATATTGTAACATATAATTATATCCATCATCGCTGTGTATCGACGCAGTCCAAATTTTTTTTAATGATTGGTGTCCATCAAAGAAAGGAGTTGTTGTGAGGAATTTTTAGAAGTGGAGAATGAAAAATGCGGTGAAGTGCGTAGATTCCTCTGAATTGTATATTCGGCACATAAATATATATATAATAATATATAATACAACAACCAAATTTTGTTAGATAATTTGTTTTTCCATCCTTAAATGACGAATATTTTTTAGTTCAATGGCATGCTTAAAATTCTTCTCGTTAGGCTTCCATTTCTATTTTTTTTCTTGCGTCGATGCAAAAATATCTCATGCGAAATTTATACAAATTATGTGAGTGACAATATATATCTATGGGCAAGACCAGAGTTTATACATAGAAAATATGCCCGTAAATTTTAGATAGAAATTTTTTAAAGTAAATATTGTTCTTTGGTGCTGGCTCAGTCTGGTTTCAATTTTCGTACAGTTCACATGAAGTTTATTATGTCCAGGAAAGTATTTGAAACAGAGAAAAGACAAAATATGACATGTAATGATGATTTGATTTCCAAAAGAGCACAGGTTTTCATTTTCTCGTCATTTTCATCGTCGTATGAACCTGAGAAATCAAATTTCATTGAATATTCAAGAACATTGACTGATTCATCAATAACAGGTCAATAGAAATTCCATGTAAATTATTCGTTGAAATTTGGCAAAATGGCTGAGAGTGAGAATGTCATTATTAATTTTGGCGGCGGTTGGAATAATTTTTCGACGAGAAATAACATAAATTTCCTGGCAAACCTTCGAGAATATAAATTTCACGTGAACCGACACAGTAAGGCACAATTAGTACATTGAATTTAACAATATTTGAACTCCTCCGATGTTAATGTACTCAAATAGCAGTCGAGTGTATTGCAGACGTTCCGGTCTCAACGTTTGCCACGTTTTCTCTAAACATAGACGAGTGCTTTAAATAGAAAAACCAGTTGGAGCAACAAACGTGAAAAGCAAAAGATCTCTCTTTCATTTCAAAATGAATGATACAAAACCATTTTATCATAAGTTTCATATTAATCCGCAAAATCTGCTTCTTCTCCTAACAATTAGATTTTTCCGTTCCTTCGATTCGATCGAAATCTTGCGGGATTACCAATGTGGAAGCTACAGCATCGTATGCTCGTTTTCTTCATCGAAAAAATTTTTGTTATTTTATCCAAGCTGTTTTGGCACTGTTCGCTGAATTAAATTCCTCTCACTGCACGCGTCTGCAGTAGTATCCCAGTGTCTTGCATTTTTCACAGAGATGCTGCGGGTGAACTTTACTTTGGTCAGAGACGTCCAAGCCGTCCGGTTTCTCTAGAGGCCGCTGAAAACAGTTTTTTTTCGTTCATTATCATTGCGGAATATTCTACTGCAATTTTTAGGGGGAGGGTCACCCCGGGAAGTAAACTTTCTTGCTTTTTTGGAAACATTTCTGAAAGTAATATTTTTTACGTGATTTTCAAATTCTGCACATGATTCTAATGAGAGGGTCACGGATGAACAAATTTTGATAGAAAAACTAGAGAATTCGTTAGAAAATTCTATTGGATTTCTGTTGACTCTCAAAAAGTCAATAGAATTCGATTTATCTAACTTATTCTATTGAAGTATTTTCTATAGAATTTCCTCGGCTCAAATTTTCCAAGTTTTTTTGTGGGATTTTCTTGATGAGAAGAAATTGAAAATAGAATTAAGAAACCAGAAAATTTAAGTCGAGGAAATTTTATAACAAATAGATGAAGAGAATAAGTCACATAGAAAAATCAAATTCCATTGACTTCTGTTGAATATGTTCTATTGAGCATTTCAATAGAATTGACTAGAAACTAATAGAAAGTTCAATAGAAATCCAGTAAAAATTGGTAATCATATCCAAAAAATTATTTCACAAATTTATATGTTGAGGATTTTTTCAGTTTCGGTTACAAAAAATGAAAAATTGTAATTTTGAGCTATCGGAGACAATTTCGATCTATAGAATCGGATGTCTGAAGAAAAAATAATGCAAAAAAAAGTACTTTTGAAAATTTCTCCTCGACAAATGAAAGTTTTTTTTCCTGAGGTAAATCTCCCCTTAATCAGCCATTTTATGAAGATTAGTACATGTGAGTTAAATGAATGATGGATTCCTCTAGAAATGCACGTGTGTTTTCAAGATAATTCGTCAAATTCGACTTTTTGATTGATCGTTCCTTTATTGGCCCTGACTAGCAATTAATCGAAACTTGTTCGTTTTCTAGATTAATTTTTCGATCATAGCCTCGCGAAGATGGCTAGATAACGCTGGGTAATGCTTGATTGGCCGAGCGTGAGAGGAGTAGGGAGTTGCCGGCCTCCACTGGCTGAGGCGCACATGTAGATTAGTTTGGATTGGCTCGAGCCAACGTGTGATCATTCCACCTCTCGACTTGTAAGTCGCGTCATGAGCAATTCCCGGGCTTTTAAAGTCCTCAAGTGTTGATAGTTGATCATTAATCAATGAGAAATATCTCAAACGTTCGTAATTGAATGAATTCCATGAATTCCTCGACAAAAGGAGGATGAAAAAAGTGAAGGATATGTAGGGAAATTTCCCTTTTTAAAAACAGAATGAAAGAACTTGGAAGTGACCTGAAGGGGAGAAATAATTTTTAAAAATGTTCAAAAACACGAGGTGGTTGACAGCTGTGAGCGCCAGCCATGGCGCATGGATCCCCCTCCCCTCCTCTCCCGTAAGGGGCTTTAAATATGGCGGCACACTCACCTCGCATTTTCAAACATTTTTTAAAATTATTTATCCTCTTCAGATCACCTTCAGTTCGCTTCATCCGATTTATAGAAAAGGAACAAATTTCTCTAAAAAATTTTAAAGTCATTTTCCGACTTTTCCATTCACTTTCGGCTGAAAATTCATGGTTCAAATTTTTTGGTAATTTTTTTTGCCTCCCGGGTTTCTTAGATCTTAAATTTATAATTGAAAAATGAGAAAAAATCATCAAGTTCCCTATTAATGTGAATGCGCTACTTGCATCGACTGTCCTAAATACACTCATCATTAAAATAATTCAATATCCAACGCGATGTAGAAAATTGACTCATTCCGTCACGTTTCACTGCGTCAAAACTCTACTAATTTTCCGCGAATAGACGCAAAAAATATTAAAAATCGTGACATTCTAGACAAACCCAAAGGATTTTTCTCATTATCAATTGCATCAAAGGACTTACGTAACGCAAAGAGGAGTTGAACGAGTGAGGCGGGGATGTTGATACTGATGCTGATGGCCCCAGACTCACCTGCTTGTGAGGATAAACGTTGATATGGCACTTGATACACTCCTGGCCCATGTTAGCCCAACTGTTTCCCGACATCCATTTGCGTTTGCATTTTGAACACTTGTACTCCCCGAAACAACGTTTTTTACCCTGGTATGGCGTCAGTCCCTCGCCTTTTGGTCTCGCCTGTTGAAAATTTATCGTAAAAATTATCATTTCCTTCTTAAACTGTGATATAATGTAATTGGGTGTGATGTCATGCGTGCTAGATGGAAGTTGTTGGTGAATGTTTTGTGGTACTTACTAATTACCACTCAATTGAGCGCACAGTCACGCGATGTCATTGTGTATAAACGGCAATTCTCGGTTAGATTGATTAAAGAAAGTCTTGGTATGGTTCAAATGAAAAAGTAGTTTTTTATTGGTCTGTTTGTGATCGAAGTTCTTCTTTTAGAAGTATTTGCATGAATAATTTTAGTAGTGAAACGGCAAAACGATTTAAGGCGATTTTGACTATTGGACAGTTTTAAATATAAATATCTCCGAATTTAAGGCGGATTGCAAAATTTTTGTTATGACACTTTTTGTAGAACATATTGAGAGCTACAAAAAATGTCTTTACGAAAATTTCGCTATCTCCCTTAGATTCGGAGATATTCCTCCCAAAAAAGTACTGATTCAAGTCGACGTCGGCTTGATTCTAGTCGATTTTCGAGTTGATTTAAGTTGAGTGACTCGGGTTGAAACCAATCCGGATTCCGGGTCTGATATGAGTCCAAAAGTGGTTTATTTCATGGAGAAACGTCTTGAGCCGACATCGGCTTGAGTCGAAGAATCGGCTTGAATCAAGTCGAAAAATGGGGTGATTTACGCCGAAATTCTGCCTGTTGTAGGTAGTAGATAACGACTTGATTCAAGTTAATTTTTCGATCTGATTTAAGTAAACTTTTCGGCTTGATTCAAGTCGATTTTTCAACATGATTTAAGTCGATTTTCCGGCCTGATTCAAGTCAATTTTTCGGCTTGATTCAAGTCGATTTTTTACTTTAATCAAACCAATTTTTCAACCTGATGTAAGTCGATTTTTCGGGTTAATTCACGTTATTTTTTCGACCCGATTTAAGTTTCAATAATTGACTTGAATCAAGTCGCAAGTCGATTTGAATCAGGTCGATGCTCCGTTTTGCATGTCTCCAAGTCAGACTTGACTCATGCCATCAATGCGACTTGAAATAGATCGATTCCCAGCACGATTCAGTCCAACTTGATTCAAACTAATTTTTCGACTTAACTCAAGACGACTTTTTTGGGTGTAAATTGACTCAATCGTTTTACCGCTTCGTGGATTTTTTCAAACCGAAAAAAAATACAACAAAAATGTAATGATGGCAGAAAAAGCTGCAATAAATATCTTCTAAAAAAACTCTTCAATTTCAATGGGCCTCCTATAAAACCCACACAGGAACAGACAATGTTTGTTGTGTCAATTAACGTCCAATTGAAGCGTCAGTCATGTATGCATTCCAAGGCACGCGTATCACTTGTTGTGAGGCCCCTACTGTCAATGTGCATTTAAAGCCCGAGTGGAAGTTGAAATAAAAATGGAGAGAAAAAAAAATTAGGGGAATTATATCGCGATGAGAGAAAGAGTGTACATAACGCACATGTGTTGAACATGCGTTCTTCAGGAGCATACGTCATTCCTCTACCTACTAGCTACTCAGACACTCGGCTAATCGCTACGAGAAATCGTTTATTGCTTCCAGAGGCGTCTCTTGTTTCCGTTTTTCTTACATTTTTCGTTCGACTTACTCACAGTTCCTTCTCAGTTATGAACATTTTCGAATATTTCAGGAGAATTCGGGAGCAAGAATAATTACGATGGAAAAATAGGATGACTAAATTTTTTTTGAAGTGTGCATGCAGTGAAAGCACCGATCCAATCGCACGTCCCAACTCAACGTTATTTAAAGCAGCTCAACATTATCCAAAAATATCCGAATATTCAGGGCCACTAAAATTCACCACTTATTCGCCTCTCAAACAAGGAAACAAATGCATCAATAAATAGGGGAAAGAGAGAGAAAATGAACCGTTTTTAATCGTCAGTAACTCAGGACCCTCAGAGTGAAATGGCGCGATTTGTTTTCACTGTCAAGGTATTTTTTTCAGACTGTCAGGTGAGACCTGATTCGTTCACTGAGAGAAATATCGTCATAATATCACAAAACTAATTTCTTGCGCGAAATATCTCATCTCTTGAGGATAAATTTCTTGGGATAAGAATTCCGGATAATGTGTCAGACAATGGGAGATTTCGGTGAAGTGTTCATGACTTGAACATGAAGATTTCATGATAAAGTGAGAATTTCTTGCCACAAGAAATCGGTTTTTTCGTATCAGAAGATGAGAAAATGACTAAAAATATTAAAGGCTTCGATTCAGTGAATCATGAATCAGGGACTTTCATATTGAATGAATAGAGAGTTTATGCAGAGGAAAATAACCTCCAGATATTAAAAAAATATAACCGTCGCTTACGCTCAATCGCTTTGAGTTCGAAGGGAAGCAATATCTTCTTTTCCTTCTGTCAAACTATTCTTGTGTTTTAAGGAATATTATCTCATTTCGAAAAAAGACATCATCTTTTCATTCAGTAACTTCCTCCTTAGCCCGAAGAGCACCGATTTCTTGACTAAAACCTACCATAAATTGATCGAAAATGGATGCGATGTTTTTCGCTCAAGAAATTATTTTTGTGATATGTGGAATTTTCTCGTAGTGTTCCAGGAAGGCTCATTTGTCCCTTATCTTCTAGTGTTAAATCACCTGCGGACAATCTCTGATGTAGTGGCCTTTCTTGAAGCACAAGTGACACAAATATGTCGACGGGGGTCTCTTCGTTGGCTTGCGATCCAATAGACCAAGCTCGTTAAAGTGCTCGGCCAGGTCTCCAATACTGTCCACTAAACTGCCACCAATTGGTACTGATCCAGGAGATAGTGGGCCTTTTTGGAGGTAGGACTGGTGATGGGCGTTTGCAGTGGGAAAATTACCCCACACGGTCGGCAAAAGTTTACTCTAATTGTCGGAAAGGAGAGAAATAAAGGATTGATGTGTTGAAAAATTATTTTGAACATTTTTCAATGTTTGCACGCACGAAAAAAATTCATGGAAAAACTTTGCGAATCCGATAGAAAATTCTATTAAAGTTTTGAACTTCTCTTGATAACTGTTTTAATTTTTTCCCGATTCTATTGGAGAATTTTTTATGGAAAAAATCATTGGAATACAGTGAAAAAACTGGAAAAATTTGAGCCGAGGAAATTCTGTGAAAAACGTCTGAGCAGAATGAGTTACATAAAAAAATCGAAATCTACTGACTCGTTCTATTGACTATTTTCTATTGACATGTTTTTCAATAGAAAATAGAATCGGCCAAAAACTAATAGAAAGCTCAATGGAGATCCAATAGAATTTTCCGCCGAATTCGCTAGGTTTTTCTAATAAAACTTTTCGTGCCTGGGATGATCCTTCAAATGAGTTTCACAATGTAAAATCTTTTCTCAGCTACCTGATCGTTATGTGGAGGTGTATTCTGATCGGTAATAGCCAGATACACCCAATTAAGGAGGTGTGGGGGGTAATTCGAGTGGATCGTCTGTTGAATTGAATTCTGATGATGATTCTGGGTGCTATCCTGCATCTGGAGATGGAGAGACTGCGGAGGTGGTCGGGGGTGACAAGCCGCCATTCTCACGGATCATAAATTGGCACTTGGATATTCAGGAAGAACTTCACTTCGAGAATTAAAAAAATATTGACGCACGAAATGCGAGTTTACAACTTTGCACAACTTATTTCACCACAGAAACCCTCGATGAGTTGATGGAAGTGTTTTTCAGATTTATTACGATTTTTAATGACTCATAAAAATGGAAAAATTAAGATCTTTGAATTTTTCGCTTTTTTCGTTAATGACATTCTCGAGAGATCCGATTATTCCAGCTCGCTACGGCCGGGCGGTGGACCCGACGTGCGGCTACTGAAGCTGCGGGGAGAAACTGAGACCCAAAGAGTCCGGAGTTTTCAGCTTGACACACACCGCCACATCCAAATGGTTTTATTTCCACGCATACCCTTCGTGTGGGTAAAATCTGTATACACTTTGAGATATATTCTCGGATTATTGTGAATGTCTTCCCCGAAATTTTAAACACTTTTGCTTCCGAATGGAAGCTTTGTAATCCAAAAAAAATTAATTCAAGGCCCGGGTACTATCTTTCGAATGTTTACTTGAATTTTTTTATCTTTCGCAATCCAAAATTGTCAATTGAGTGGTACATCATCTAGAAATTCCCAAAAATTACGATAGAATGATAAAAAAAAATAGGAAAAATTCTTAACTTTTTCAAACAGCGTTTTTAATTGAGATTCAGAATGAGTTGAAAAATGTGGAAATTACAAATATCTGATCTGCTGTGGGAAATTATCTATTAGCTTGCAAATGAATTGATTGAAAAGATTTGCAAATGAATGATTCATTCCGCAGTGAAAAAAAAATACTTTTAGTGCATTTGACTTCGTAGTTTCCGCAATATTCATTCAGAAAATATACGAAAGGTTTCAACAAACAATGCGATAATTTTTTTCATGATAAACCTGACCAAGTTTTTTCCTCGCTAAAGAGTTTTCCATTTTTTTCTTAAATTTTGAATGGGTATGTGGAGGAGACCAATTGTAATTGCCTTACTTCGTCTGGAGAATACAATGTTTATTTTAGTTGCCAAGACCCCCGCCATGTGCGACTTCTATTTTCGAGTTATTATGAAGCTCCCACACTCATTCACTCGAGTGCCTGAACCTCACATGTGTTTTTTCCGTTCCAGAAAGAGTTAAAATTCTGTTCTGGAGTTTGAGAAATCTTCCAGTCTCTGAAGAATTGTATCATCTTCAATTTTTTTCTCCCAAATTTTCTTCCGTGATTTTCGTTTGAAACAGCTGACGCAGTAATGTCTGCCATAAGTAAATCCCAATCATTTTTGTAGGAGATTATGAGTTTATTAATAGATAGATAAATTTATAGATAGATTTATGAATCTATCAAGCTCGTAGTAATTCTCATTGTCTTTCTTTTTCGCAGGTAGATGATAGGGGCAATAGCAAGATCTGGTGACGCCAGATTATCCAAAATTTATAAGTTATCCAAAATGAATTCAGTTGCAATGGACCTGCACACTGTTAGAAAAATACTCTCGAAATTTCAAGTGAAATAGCGTGAAATTTTTAACAACGACAAAGTTACGTGAATTTTCTGTACATTTCTTCACTGACAAATCAGTTAATTTCTCGAATATTCAAGTAATTCTCGATTTTCCGGTCCCTATGGCACTGAAAAACCTCCAGAATTTTGAAAATTCAGACAGCAACTTTTTTTAAATTCTTAATCTATTGAAAATCGAATTCTACATGATGTTCAATTTTCACAATGAGTTTAGAAATTCAAGCATTCATTGAAAAATCAATGATTGTTTAACACGAAAAAACCAATTTTTTTAATTTTTAAAATGAATGAGGAATTTTGTGAACGCTTTTATTTGAAATTGAATTCAAACATCGAAAATTCAGGTGACGCTGTGACTGAAATGTCAAGAAATTTCTAACAGTGTAGACTTGAATTTAAATCGAAAATAAAAACACAATTGTATTATCTTCAATTTTTTTCTCTCAAGTTTTCTCCTGTGGAGTACTTTGAATTTCTTCGTCGAATTGAAGATAAGAAATATTGGTTTTTGTTATTTTCGCTTGTTTATGACCGTAAATTGTCTAGAAGTAGTGGTATTAAACTGATAAACATAAACGATTGAATAAATTATGACATGCAGAGGTGAAATCCCCGATAGTACTTCTAGTAATTTTTCAAACTAAAGAATAAACGCTATCGTCCGCCGATTCTTGTCAAATGGGCTGTTACCACCCCCACACAATTGGGAAATAGAATACAAGAAAATTGAGAAATTGACACAAATAGTATGTAAATCCCGAATGTCGTTGAACCCCTTCGCTATAAATATCCTTCGATCGATGGTGATTGACTAACTTCCAGCGGAGGGGACCTTAAACAGCCTGACATAGAGACAATGTGTACTTGCGCTCATCACGAAAGGAGGTATTCATATTTAGCATGTCATAAAGCCTAACCAAACGATCGAACGTTGAACAAAGGGGGAGCAGAAGTAATAAGAATTGGAGAAATAATATGTCGAAACGAGCGTTTGGAATGCATCGTATTTACCCCGGCCGAAATTGGTTTGACCTCTTGGCGTTTAAACACAAGTTTAATTGAGTTTATTGTGATCATGCTTGAACTTTGCGTGCACGTCCTTGACGCCTGGAGCCACCAAAAAAGGTCAGGATCATGAAATTTGGGCATTTGTGTACAATTTCGGTGATTACGCGTCACGAAGGTATAAACAGGCTTCGATTTTTCTCAGTCGTCGGAATATCACAAAACTAATTTCTTGCGCCAAATATCTGATCGCTTGAGGATAAATTTCTTGGGATAAGAATTCTGGATAATGTGTCAGACAATGGGAGATTTCGGTGAAGTAGTCATGACTTGAACATGAAGATTTCATGATAAAGTGAGAATTTCTTGCCACAAGAAATCGGTTTTTTCGTATCAGAAGATGAGAAAATGACTAAAAATATTAAAAGCTTCGATTCAGTGAATCATGAATCAGAGACTTTCATATTGAATGAATAGAGAGCTTATGCAGAGGAAAACAACCTCCAGATATTAAAAAAATATAACCGTCGCTTACGCTCAATCGCTTTGAGTTCGAAGGGAAGCAATATCTTCTTTTCCTTCTGTCAAACTATTCTTGTCTTTTAAGGAATATTATTTCATTTCGAAAAAAGACATCACCTTTTCTTTCAGTAACTTCCTCCTTAGCCCGAAGGGCACCGATTTCTTGTCTGAAGCCTACCATAAATTGATCAAATGTGTATGCCATGTTGTTCGCTCAAGAAATGATTTTTGTGATATGTCGATTCTTCTCTTCGTGTAGTCGAATTGTACAAGATACCTGGCTGTTTTTATTTTTTTATGTCGGTGTAACATAACAGTATATTTCCAATTTTCACACAAGTTTGCGGGGAGAAAAATGCAATAAAAATTACCAGAAAAAAAGTAAAAATTACGGTTCGAAACGTAATCCGCGAGCGAAGTAAAATTCAATCAAAAGTGTAAGTCGGACCTGAAATTGTACGAATCGCCACGTAAATTCTACGATTTGTCCCGTAAAAATTAACCACCCGTCTGACGACTCACCGCTGTGGGAACAAGTTCCGTAATTTTTCCCCAACGATTGAGAAATTTTACGGAACAGAACGTAGAAATAACTCACCAGCTTCATAAAAATTGTCGAACGTTCAAGAATTTTCGATTTTTGAGGCACAATAAGTCCGCAGGTTTCTGTAAGATTTTACTTCTTCGGGAAAAATTACGTGACAATTTCGTACTTTGTTCGGTGATGAACCTGAAAATTCACCGAACGTTTCAAATTTCTTCTCTTCCCTTCCTATAAAAATTTCCGGAAAACGATTCCCCATTGCGAATCACATGAACTGTTCCGTAATTTTTACTGAATATTTCTCTCCGTGTGAGGCAGAATGTCACGAGTGCGAAGTTGGCGGCCCGAGGCGAAGCCGAGGGCGACGTAAAATTGCAAATTTTCATTTTAAAAAATCACTCATTAAGGATGTTCTACACCCTTTCTGCCAAAATTANTTGACGTGAAAAAATATAACGTTTTTGCGTTTTGTCATTATTTAATGACTGACGAAATTTTAAGGTGGTGCGAACATTTTCCTGCGTTTTCTCTAAACTTTTAAAAAGAATCACAAAACTGTAGAAAAAACGCATGAAAATTATCGCACCACTACGCAACTTCGTGAGCCATTAAAGAATGACAAACCACAAAATCGTTATATTTTTTCACGTCACTCCCATCGATAATTTGCCAGAAAAATGAAAACAACGTCAATTTTGGCTAAAAGGGTGTCGAACATCCTTAAAAAAGACCCTTATTTCGAGCTGAAGTCGCAGTGTCACTCAATCAGCGACTGAGTACCCCCCGCTCACGTGTCCGCCCGATGCCTCCACCCCATCAATTTCATTCATGCACATTCTAAGAATATCCGTAGATCCCTTCGGAATACTCCAACCAATCTAAATTCTCCTTACCTCTTTAAACTTTCCCTCAAATACTTAAAAACTTACAAAGAACGGGATCTCCATTCTACCCCCATTTCGCTGGAAGTTTCGGTGCAGCGGCCGTTTGATGACAATCCACTGAAAAAAAATAAGAAAAACGATGGAAAAAATGGCTAGTGGTATAGAATAACAATATTAAATGACACGTTTCACGTAGAAAAGCCTCAGGCTCCGGTGACTCCCAGTGTCAGGATATCGTTTGTATACTCCACCTGACAGCGGTATCCCGGCACAACCCCTTACCGCCCCCCCCTTCCCCCTCCTTTCTCCCTTCCTTCTTTTGCCCGCAGGAGAGACTCCCCGAAAACTAATTATTCACGAATCGATATACATCGATGAAAGGCACAGAGCATCGTCAAACTCCCAGTTCATTCCAGGTTGCAGAGTCGTGCGTGTCTGACCTGAAGTAAACGTTCAGGGAAATAAACAAGAAGCTCATTCGGGAGAATAAAAGGGGAAAATTGTCAGTGAGGTTAATGGCGATGATTTGGTCAATGTAAATGGATGAATTTTCGGAGATCGCGAGAATGGACAAATACGAAAATATCGAGGTGGTGGGAGAGGGAAGTTATGGAATTGTTATGAAGTGCAAGCATCGAGATACGGGACAAATCGTCGCCATCAAGAAGTTCCTCGAAACTGAAGAAGATGTTCATGTTAGGAAAATGGCATACAGGGAGATTCGGATGCTGAAGGCAACTATTTTCCTCAATTTTTGGCTGTTACTTTGAAGCTGAAGATCGTTGAAGTCGGAGAAATTTGTGAGGGTTGATGGTTTGGGTTGTTTACACGCACAAACAAATTTAAGAGAAAAACGTAGCGAATTCGTTGGATAATTCTGCTGGATTTCTATTGGATTTTTACTAGTTTTTGGCCGATTTTACTGAAATGTTCGGTAGAAAAAGTCAATAGAATTCGATTTTTCGATATTTTCTGTAGAATTTCCTAGGCTCAAATTTTCCAATTTTTTAAATTCTATTTTTCTTTTCTTCTCGTCAAGAAAATCAAACAGTATTAATGTTTGAGAGGATATTAATCTCCTAGTTCCGTTTGAATAAAATGACGGAGAAACGTTGCATATTCTTGCAATCGGAAAGTTTTCAGCTTTTTAACGGATGAAAGTTTGTTTTTTCATGATTTACGATAGTTAAAAAAACTCATTTTTCGATTCTAGAAACTGCATCATGATAACTTGGTTAAAATGATCGAGGTATTTCGCCGGAGAAAACGTTTCTATCTGGTCTTTGAATACTTGGATCATACAGTTCTTGATGAGTTGGAAGCAGCATCCGGGGGACTGGGACCTCATGTTTCCAAACGTCACATTTTCCAAGTCGTGAGAGGTCTGAACTTCTGCCACACGAATCACGTGAGTACTTTGTACTGAGGCTCAGTGGAATATCAACTACTTATTTGAAGGCTGTGATAAAACTCGGTTGCGGGAATTATGAATGGGAGCACTGTTGAGCTCCGGCTGCTCATCCTGTTGAAAATTCAAAGAGCATTCTGCGTTTCAGTCGATTGAGAGGGAAAAAAAATTTCAATTTACGTAATCCGCAATGGGGAATCGGTTTCCGGAAATTTTTATAGGAATGGAAGAGAAGAAATCTGAAACTTGCCGACTTATTGTGCCTCCAAAATAAAAAATTCTTGAACATTTGACAATTTTTATGGAGCTGGTGAGTTATTTCTACGTTCCGTTCCGTAAAATTTCTCAATCGTTGGGGGAAAATTACGGAACGACTTGTTGTACCCACAGCGGTGAGTCATCAGACGCAGGGAGAGAAATATTCAATAAAAATTACGTATCTTTTCCGTAATTCCGGAGCGAAATGTGGTTGTAGGAAATTTTGCGGAACTGTCACGGAATTTTTCCGGGGCGATCCGTAATTGGGGAGGGTGGGGCAAAACGGCCCCCCTTCAATTGTCAATAACTTGTGAATGACATTGTGAAAATTCCCAGTTTCGACTTCAGTTTGAAGATAATTTTTCATTCTTCAAAACGAGCTCTAACTCATCCCAATCGGATTATTGAATCGGAAAATGTTGACGATTGAAGGGGGGCCGTTTTGCCCCATCCTCCCCTTTTTATCTGAATCTGTTGTGAAAAATTACGATACCGTCACTTAAATTTTCTGAGTCGATTTTGTAATCGGTGAGTGAAGTGAGAGTTCCGTAATTTTTACTGAACATTTCTCTCCGTGCGGATGGTTAATTTTTACGGAACAAATCATAGAATTTACGTGGCGATTCGTACAATTTCAGTTCCAACTCACACTTTTTATTGAATATTACTTCGCTCGCGAATTGCGTTTCGAAACGTAATTTTTACGTTTTCTTCTGTTAATTTTTAAAGTGAATATCAGAAGTGGTAGGTGTAACAATTCAGTAGCGAAGTGGTCAAACGGTTGAAGTCGATTTTTTCTATTAGCCAGTTTTCAATGAATATCCCGAAATCTAAGGGCGATAGCAATATTTTTCTCACAACCTTTTTAGTAGCACTCATTTTGCTCTACAAAAAAGGTTATGACGAAAATTCCGCTATCTCCCTTAAATTCAGAAATATTTCTGGAAAACTCAACTAAAGACTAAATTGACTTAAACCGTTTGACCACTTCGCTACTGAATTGGAACCCGGGATCGAGTGACTAAATTTCGTCATGAAAACTTGATCAGTTTCAACTAATTCTGCCGATTTATTGGGCGAGCGATACTACCCGCGTCTCCCATATCGGTTCGTTCAATCCTAAAAACAAATCGCCAAATTTGTTCCAGATAATGCACAGAGACGTGAAGCCCGAGAATATTTTGGTATCGCCGAACGGAGTAATAAAACTCTGCGATTTTGGATTCGCTAGATTCGTGTCAGGACCGAACGAGTCTTGCACGGATTACGTGGCTACCAGGTGGTACAGAGCGCCAGAATTATTAGTCGGTGATTCGAGGTACGGGCGGCCTGTCGACGTCTGGGCCCTAGGGTGCCTCTACGCGGAGATGGTCACAGGGGATCCCCTTTTTCCCGGCGAGAGTGACGTCGATCAGCTCTTTCAAATCACGAAGGTTTTAGGTCGATAATCAATGGAAAATTTTCCTCATCTGACAATTTCATTAGCGACTGGTGCTAGAAATCACACGTGAGATTATTATTTTTCTGCACAGGCGGATTATGCTCGAAACACCAGGCAATGATTAACCGCGGATTCAGTGGCTTTCCGAATCGCCTCTCCAAAAGATCTAGCACATCAGATGATTCACATTCAAATGTAAATACCGCCCGACCTCTGCGCAGTCTTTTCCCCAAGTGGGCGCCATTGGCCATTGACTTTTTGTCTCACTGCCTGCGATTGGATCCAGAAATTCGACCCTCATGTGCCACTCTCCTGCAGCATCAGTTCTTTACACACGACGGATTCGCCGAGAAATTCGTAGTTGAATTGGAAAGATACATTGCTAAGGAGAGTGGCAAAAATTCACTGATCGCCAAACGCATGGACCATAGGAAGACAACTTATGCTGCAGAGACACCTAGAATTTGCTATGGTAGTGCTGGGAGGTGAGTCAAAAATGCGAAAAAGTATTCTTAAGGACACACAGAGAGAAATTCTTGATAAAAATTATCCTATCGCTCTATAAAAGTATCATGAGTCATCCTTTCCTCACTTCTATCCCGAAATTTTGTAAAAATTAATATATGATGATCAAATTTTATTCTACGTCAGAGAAATTTTATCCTGATAAAAATAAAAATTACCGTGCCGGCAGAGTAAAAATTACTGTATCGGTAGGGGACAATTTGCCAACCGTTCTACAATTTTCGTTGTTATCTACATAAAAATTATTGGACTGGAAGGGTAATAGTATATTTCGTAACGAGTGCAAAAAAGTGTTTTTTGGCGAGTGATATAATCCCACGAGCTAAATTTTTTCACGAGTGACTAAATTTCGTGATGAAAACTTCATCAGTTTCAACTAATTCACGAGTTTGATTCGATTTTTTCACGAGTTACGAACAATATTTTGTTCGTAACTCGTGAAAAAATGTTTTTTAGCTCGTGGGATTAATAAAAATAAAAATTACCGTGCCGGCAGAGTAAAAATTACTGTACCGGTAGGGTACAATTTACCAATCGTTTTAGAATTTTCGTTGTTATCTACATAAAAATTATTGGACTGGAAGGGTAATAGTATATTTCGTAACGAGTGCAAAGAAGTGTTTTTTGGCGAGTGAGAGTGGGGTATAATCCCACGAGCTAAAAAACATTTCAATTTCAATTTCAATTTAACAAAAATCGAATCGAACTCGTGAATTAGTTGAAACTGATGAAGTTTTCATCACGAAATTTAGTCACTCGTGAAAAAATTTAGCACGTCGGATTATATCACGAGCCGAAGGCGAGTGATATAAACCTCCCACTCGCCAAAAAACACTTTTTTGCACTCGTTACAAAATATACTATTCATCACGCTGTGGCGAAAAGTGAACTTTTCGTCACAGCGTGATGAAAAATTTATTATGCGTCAGGATAAAATTTTTCAAACGTAAAATAAAATTTGATCATCATATATTAATTTTTACTAAATGTCGGGATAGAAATGAGGAAACGATGACTCATGATATACTTTTATAGAATGGTAGGATAATTTTTATCAAAAATTTCTCTCCGTGTATTAATATTCTTAGGATATAACACCCTTGACCGATTTATTAAAAAATTGAAAAAATAATGATAATGTTACAACATTCTCAGATGGCGAATGCAGTTGATTAAAGAAACCGGGAGTTTCTCCACGAAACCCGAATTTGAAGAATGTGTTCCAGACGGGCAAAATCCCCAGATATTTCCGCAATCAGAAATTTCAGTACCCACAAGGAGAAAAACCCAGCGAGAACCCCTTTACGTGGGTCCCATTTCAGTAACTCCGAATACAACTTATATCAGAAGATTAGATATGAAAGGAGCTCTCCCTCCGGATTCAAAAAATTTCTCCCTACCTGCATTACCTTCAAAGGAGAAGAGGAGTTTCAAGCGAGAGACTAAAAGGCACAAAGATCAATTGTATTAGCAAGGAATTTTCCCATTGGCTCCAGCTGGTCAAAAAATTTCTTATCGAATGTTGAAAATTGTGTATCTGATTATATTTCATTGTAAAAAAAATATGGTTTTTCAACCCGCAAAACATGACACACTCATTTATTGGGAATACAACCATTGGAAAATATTCCATCATTTCGAATTTCTCATATTACCCACGATACCATGCGATGGTTTCAAAGAAGAAATCTTGTTAGCCGTCGATAATGTAGGAGGATCCAGCGTTTTACCGATGTATCATGTGATGATATACTTCTCAACTACTGGTAATTCTCGATAGTGTGACTCGTCTTCAGTAACCACATCTGTTTAAACAATTCACTAAAAAAAATTATTAATCATTTATAATTAATATAATATAATAAATAAATAATTAATTATTTATTACCATTTATTATTAACTAACTAATAATTAATAATAATGATATTAATTCTTATTAACTCAAATATATTAAATATGCAGAATAATATTAAATATTATATATTATCATTTATTATTAATTAAATAATAATTGTTTATTATTATTATTATTATTTGTTTTTTAGGAATTATTTAAACAGATATGGTTACTGAAGAATTATCCAATCGTCATTTCTACATGAATTGATCTGATCAAGTATTTTTTCGATTTTTTAGAAAAATTCAGGGGTAGAATTTCACCCTTGGGGGGTGTGTAGCGGCTGACAATGTATCGAATACTGCATTATCGACAGTCGATATAATTTTGGCGAGAGACAAGTTTCTGCCTATGCCGTGAGCGCTGATGTGTCGATTTTAATTCCTGTCATGTGGACCCTATCATTTGACTGTTCTACTTGATTTACGAATCTCTCGATGTTGGCGATATCTCCGAATCAAAGAGAGATGGCGAAATTTTTCTCATAACCTTTTTTGCAACTCTCATTTCGCTCTACAGAAAAGGTTTTAGCAAAAATTTTGCCATATGCCTTGGATTCCGAGATATTCATTGAAATAATCAGAACCGACTTGAACCGTTTTACCTCTTCGCCACTGAATGACGTCACAAAGGGGGATTTATCTTTCGTTCATGTTCACGGAGAAAAAAATACCAGAAAAATTATCGTACTTACCCATTTTACCGTGCCAGCACAGTAATTCCCTAGCGAAGTGGTCAAACGGCTTAAGTCAATTTAGTCTTCATTTGAGTTTTCCAGAAATATTTCCGAATTTAAGAGAGATAGCAAAATTTTCATAATAACCTTTTTTGTAGAGCGAGTCGAGTGCTACTGAAAAGGTTATGAGAAAAATTTTGCCATCTCCCTTGGATTTCGAGATATTCCTTGAAAACTGGCCAGTAGCCAGAATCGACTTAAACCGTTTGACCACTTCGCTACTGAATTTTTCTGGTATTTTTTTCTCCGTGTTGTTTCATTGATTTCGAAGAAAAATTCTAAAAATGCAGCTTTGCTCTTCGATTACCTGGATCGTCCAGTAATTTTTCCTATCATTTTTTCCTGGATTATTCTTGATTTTTGTCAATTTAAGTGAGTAATTTTACGGCTATTGTCGAGTCTACCTCTTCCGAAAAAAAGTTTATTTTTCAAATCGCGGCAGCGTTGATGGAAGTCCTTTGAACTGTTGTCGCAGTCACTGCATGATTAACCGAAATCGATGAAATGGCCCGATAATCAGCCTGAAAATACTAAAATCACATCGGCAGGTAGCCCTGGTCGTTTTGAGTGGTCGCGCATGCCATTCACTTTGTCAAAAAATTACATGTTGGAAACACACGGCAGATGAAGGGAAGCGGAATGATGGGGTGGGGTAGTGGAGAGCAAGATCTATGGGAACCGCGCATTCATGGAGCTCGCGAGAGATAAAAATCTTTGAACGAGTAAAAATGAAAGCGAACTATATCATGATGGTAATGCGATATCTGGCAGTATAATGGCGCAAAAACCGTGGCCCATTGTGTTCAACTACCGATCCGCAGTATATGCTGAACTGTATACTTACTGTATCGGATGTTACCCAAAAGCTCTCCCTCCAGCCTGGTGACACATTGTGTATTGTAACGACAGGATGTGTGTTCTTGATTTTACCTCGGAAAAAGGTTGAATATGAAGGGGTGTTTCGTCTATTGAATTTTATAACGAAAAATTGAAAAATATAATGAATGAAAGAAAATGACAATTCGGTATTTGCTTCGACAAGCATTTGCAATCATGATATTTTCATTCTCTAGTTCTCTTTCAATTTTTTTCAATTGCAGAATTTTTTTTTCACTTTTTTTTTTTTTTTTTATGCTTATTTTATATCGCTTCGAGTCTGATGAGACTATATGGCGATGGATCAAGACTTTAAAAATGGTTAGATCTCACCATTCTACCCGGCCAGGAATCGAACCTGGAACCTATCCGTTGTGAGGCAACGGCCTTAACCACTACGCCAGGCCACCGAGAATTAAAAAAAAAAAAAAAGGAAAAAAAAAAATTTTTTTAATTCAAGTTTTTTAGTTACTAGACCTGTGCGCTTATCTATTCGTTGTGAAAATTAAGAAGTCGAATTTATTTAAGAAGAGTGAAACATCAATGAATAATTTTTAATCTCCGATTAATTCCGAAAAATGAGGGAAGGGTTATGAATTGATTTCCTAGAAAACTGAGAAAATTTCTTGACTTCTTCGGAAAATTTTACAGTTTCCCAGATAACTTATGCGCCAGAATTTTGTAGAGTTTAGAATTTATGTATGAAAATCTGAGAAGCAAGAATTGATCATTTTTGCGTATGACAAATATGAAAAAATTAAAATTTGGGAAGTGAAGAATAATTTGTGCGTTAAAAAATTTAGAAATACTTTTTTCTTCTCATGATCAACAATTAGGCAATTTGGATATGTTTTGATATAAAGATAAGCTTCACAAATGAAAAAATGAAAAATATGACGCAGAAATTTTTTTTGCCATTTTAAGAATTTGAAAATACCGGGGATTTTGTTCCGCGACTACTTCACGTGACTATTGACCAATCAGAATTGAGGATTAGCGGTCAGGCAGTTTCGAGATATTTCGATATAAAACAACTTCATGTTTCCTTCATCTTTAGTAGACCGGAAAAAATTTCTTCTTTCACATCGAAAATTCCCTGTCAGGTTTTTTTTGAAAATTTTCTGAAAGGTGAATGTCTAAAAAACATCGCATCCTTTCTTCACAAGAGATCGTCCAATTCGTGAAAAACAATTATTATCAGAGTAAAGTAAGAAAAAGCAATGTCTCCAAAAAAATAGAAAAAAAACTGTTTCACGTTTCATTTCGTAACGACAGAGTGTTGAAGTCACATCACGCGACAGAACCTGAGAAACCCCGTCGACTTTTTTCAAACACCAAATGTCCATCCACGCACTTCCCACATTGATATACGACCCAGCAATCCACCAAAGGCTTAACCAAGAATATTCCCTCAACTTCCTTTTTACAATTCCCAAATGTCGATTTTGTTCACCCGTTCACGGAGCCCCAAAAAAAGGGGTTTGATTTTTTTTGCCTTTTCCAGACCCTCGAAAATGAAAACCCTAACAGACGGTTAATATTTTCCTCTTTTATGGTTGAGGTTTTCGACATTTTTTTCCAGTAGGACCCAAACATGCGCAAAAAAAAGGGTTGCGAGAGACGAAATACGGGTAACAATACAGCGGTGAGCCACCGAAGAGGTTCTCCTTAATTTTTATGGATTTTCGGGTTAAAGAGGTAGCCACGGGTGCAATAGTTTCCCCCGAATTTTTTTTCGCTTAGTTTTTCCCGTGTTCTTTTTTCCTTTCCGCTGGTGCGGCGGTAGGAGGAACCGAGTTGCAAACTTTATTGGCCCCGTAAAAGTTTTTCGCCCTTACCCGATTTTTTTTACACTGAGAGGACAGTACTGTACTTACCTGGTATATTTCTTGGCCTCCCACTGACCACTGGATATATACTGTCCCCCTGTAATCCTCAAAAAAGATAAAACCTCCGTAAAAAGGAGAAGAACCGGAAATTTTTTTCTTTAAATTGTGGGGAAAAAAAACAGCAAAAAAATTGGAGAAAAAACATTTTCATAATGAGAAGATTATTTGACACTGGGTGAAGCCCATACGAAGGATCATGAGATGATTATCGGAGGGGCCTTTTTAAAGAGGTGAGAGCAAAGAAGCGAAACAGCATCCACAAAAAATGTAAGCGATACTTCACCACTTTTTACACGTTTTAAAAAGGAAAAAAGTACAACCCATTTTTTTTGGTGAGAACTTTTTTTATTTACAATACGAAGAAAAATGTTTGAAGACACCACTTAGCAGCGCATAAGTGATTTTTTCGACAAAAGAACGGAACAGAACCTTTTGATTTTTTTTTCCAGGGAACATTCAGAAATTTCTGTTGCATCAAGGTTTGGGGATCATTTACACTTTTTTTTGAAAGGGTTATCAGATGAGTGATCGACGTTTTTTGTTAGAGCACTTTACACGGGTGATGGAGTCAAAGAGATTACAAAAAATCTAGTTACGAAATTTTTTGCTTTTTAGATTTTTTCCACGTTGTATCAAATCCATTTACAAAACTAGTGGAGAAAAGAAAGGAAAATTGCGAAGAGTAAAATTGCAGGATTTTTTTTCACTTGTTACCATCATGACTGTCATTTCAATTATTGTAGTCCATTAAAATGAGAATAGAGTCATTATTTTTCTGAAACAAAGATTAGATTTGTGGTGTAAAAAATATTTTTGTCGAAAAATTATCATTTCCCACTTCGTTTTTTCTTCGTTTTTTCATTTTCCAAGGTTTTTTCTCTTTTTTTTCTGAATATCTAGCTGAATAGCCAAAGAATTCTATGCGACTATAATTTTTCGAAATAATGGTTTGGGATGCAAAAATTCAGAAAAAGTGAAGCGTCCATTTTTCTCCTTAAGTCGATATTCCTCCGTAAATTTAACAGAACAACAAATTTATTTGATCGCTCAAGCTATACGCGTGTTTGGACGT